TCTAGGCTAACCAGTCTTTCTGTTTCTGATAAATGGATTACACAGAGAAACCAGAAATCTCAGTAATTGCTCTTAAACAATAAATTAGCTTTTATTGTCAAAAGTAATACTTTAATGAAAGAAGTGATACGAAAAACATAGGGTGGGCATCTGACTTTGTTTATGCTTTTCCAACTGTTTCTTACTATTTTCTAATTAAGTAGTGTTGGTTTCTCACCCAGAAGTTTTACAGACCTACTTTCTTTGAACTGGTTTTCAAAACTGCTAATTTGTTTGTCATATTTGCTGTTAGACTGTAGTCTATCAAGGCCATATTAAATAGGCTGCTAATGTTATTTAACAGTGTTTCATTATTTGAATTCAGCTCTGTAGAGCAAAATATTTTGATCTCTCTACTTCTATTTTCTGAGTATCAGGAGAAAGAAGATGTTTCCTCTCATGTCCCATCCTGCTCCTAAATTCTACCTAATCAGGAGGAGAATTTTCCACCTCCAACCAAACAAGTAGGCTTCTACCTGTAATCTGCTGGTTCTAGCATAACTCCAGGTCAGATTTGTTTTGTTTTTGTTGAAATAATTTGTGTTAGTTTTTTTAAAGTACATCTTAAAGCTTTGAAGCTAACTTAAAATGGCATTACATAACATGTCCATAAACAAAATTGTAATTTTCTTAACATGAAAAAAATATATTGGTTATTTGTTCATTTCCAAAATTTAAGAATAAAGGAAACAATATTAGAAGGATGAAAGAGTAGAAAATAGTTTAGTGTTTTAAATTTTAGTGGTCTAAAATTAAAATTATTTGGAGTTGATTTGTTTTAATTTTTTGTATGTGAATTAAAATTTCTTTATTAATTTCTCTAGCAAGAGAATTATGAGATTGGGGCATCAGAAGGACCCTTCCTGATTTAATGACTGGGAAAACCAAGTTGATAAAACTATTAGAATCTGTAAAACGTTCAGCAAAGTTGCCAATGCAAGAATAATTTAGAAAAATCAGTAGCATTTCCTAACACTGTCAACGATCAAAATACAAGCAATAAGATAATACAGTTGCAGCAAAACATTAGCATAAAGTTTTTCCAAGATTTCAGTGATGTAGATACTGCTTTGAATTAGCTATAAATTGAACATCCAGTTTTAAAAAGAGTTTTTACTAGACTCTGTTAGTAATAAAATTGGAAACGTGGATGCTCTGTGGTTCTCACCTTGAAAGTACATTGCCATGTTGCCCAAATGGGCAAAAACATTTTTTAATTACATAAAGGACATTGTCATTTCCTTTAGATAAATCCAGGAAAAAAACCTCAGCTTTAAAATAGCATAAATTTCTATGTAAATTAATATAAATGATATTTATGAATTCAGGAGCTTTAAAAATATTACTGATAGCTAGTGTTTATGATTGAGAATAGAATTTAACTTTGGATAGAAGGCATTTGGCACTTAGTTCTGTACCTGTTTTCTAAAATTATTAAAATTTCCTAGTGGTATGTTAGTGTTATAACTTAAGAGATTTATTTTCCTGAGGAACCAGCTTGATAATTTATGAATTAGTAGCTACTAATTTTTAATATAAAGACATACTATCCTTCTACCACTGTTAGTATACTAACTTTCCACTATGTGACAAGAGTTGTTTCAAGAAATAAGGATATTGTGATGTTAATACAAACAAAAATCCTGAAGAAACATAACTGGTGGAAAGAAATTTATTTTACACAACGCTCTATAGAAAGCATTTATCAGTGTTCAAAAGCGTTTAAAAATTCAACAAAACTTTTTTCTCGTTTTGCTCATTTAATGGTTATTAATACTTTAAATAGAAACTACTATTTTTCAAAGGAAAATATAAGCAGCATAATTATTTTGAACACTATTTTTGCTTAAGCCTAAAACTGTTAGTTTCAGCAATCCAATACAAAGTTTGTCAGTTGTTTCCTTCTGTGTAATTTACTAATGTTTGTATTTGAATAAGTTTTGACTTCTAAGATTCTTTGTAGAGATAAATCATTGTGCTGCTTTATAATTTCTTAATACAGTTAGCTTTTGCCAATTTAAAAGAATTAATGAATTATTTCATGAGTATATGACCTATATTATTCAGGATATTTAGAACATGGACTAATTTTTGCTCTCAAATCCCAGCTTTTCACTTTCCAGCTGTGTAACATCAGACAGGTCACTTAAATAGTTTCTTCATCTATAAAATGGGGATAACAACACCTACTTCACAGTGATGTTGTGAAGATTAAATGAAATAATATATATCAGATATTTGTAACAATGCCTAGCATGTAGAAAAGACTGTAGAGTTTAGCTGTGATTTCGTCTTTTTCTCCTTGTGCTTGCTTCGGCAGCACATATACTAATCTTTTTCTCCTTAATGGAATGCAGGTATACGGGCATTTCTTTAAATTTAAGACTTACTTGAGTCAGTTATGCTCAAATGCTGACATTGATTTCTTGTCAGCAAATACTTTCTTTGATGTTATGCAGTTAGTATTCTTATATATGCCTATGTAGAATTATACTTAAGGCTTAAATATTGTTTTTGTTTGTTTAAATTCTCAAAGAGTACATTGTTGATAATTTTTTCTTTTTTTTTTTTTTAAGCTCTTGCCCTCTTAAACTTGCATGAAAAATATTGGGTATCCATATGTTATAAAAAAAAAAGTTCAGGAAAAACATAGGCTGAAATAATGGTTAAGTTTTCTAGTTATACAAGGTGGGGACTGGGTTGGGCAGAAATTCTTAAAAAGAACTTAACAGTAATCTTTGCTGGCTTGTTTAGAATCGAAAAATTATGAAATATTAATATTAATGAAGTTCACATATTAGAATCATAATATTAGCTTTTAATAAGCTTTTAAGATTTTAATTTTCAGTTGGAGCAGATAAAGTCTCAACTATAAAATTTTTAAGAATTTTTCTGGAAAATTACATAGTTTTAAGTCCTATTAGGATATTTTGTGGAAAGAAACTTGGAGTGTATTTTAAATATAATCTCTGTTCTCTAGGCAAAGATTCTTATGATCTACTGTGGGAGATAAAACCAAAATACTTATATTTGTTAAAACATAAATAAGCATTAGTTATCTGCTGTAATAATAAATAAATGCATAAATGTTTAGTTTCTGAGGAAATGTTTCACTTTTCATTTAAAAGAATGTCTAAGTGGAGTGTATGAAGAAGAAAGCCAACATCATTTTAAAGATATTCCCCTCAATGATAAATTAATTGTCTTAACTTCTGGAGGTATTGTGTATTTGACCTGTGCTTGGAATCTAAATGTATATATTCAGGAATATAGTGGAATTTTATCATACTACAAACTTCCCTTGTTCTGAATCTATGTGTAAAATGGTTCCTTGTGACCTTGTACGAAGAAGTTGATAGGAATAAAATAGCGGAAGGACCAGCTTCCTTTTATTTATAGTGTGGACCCCAAGAATATTTTGAATTACTGTCCCCATTTTATAAATGAGAACATTGGTCTCAGAGTCTGGAGTAAGAAACCTAAGTTCTAGACCGAGCACAATCAATAAGTTAATTTGTGATCTTGGATAAGTCACTGTTTTACTCTGGGATCTGAATCTTCTCATTTTCAGATACAGTTCTGTTACTTACAACCTTGCATTATAAGCCTAATGAGTAACATCTGACTTTTTGACTCTCTTTTTTTCATTATGTTTTGCTGGTTTACAAATTTTTTTTTAGTTATTTCTTGGTAATATAAAGGCCAAGATGGATTCATAGACCCTGTATTTTAATTCTAAAATTTCTAATTTGCATATATCTGTACAGTCTAATAGTATCTCAACTTGTGGTTTTCAATTTCATAAATATTTTTGAGGATTTACCATATACTTAGCTGTGAAAACAATGCAGTGACATGGAACACTAAGCCTGCTTTTCATAGTTTATGGCTTTACCTCTTTGGGCCTCAGTTTCCTTAGTAAGAGAATTAAATTAGATAATCTGTAATGTCTGTTTTGACTTTAAAATGTGTGATTCTTAGAAATGTAAGAAGACATAGATAGTGGTTTCTTTTTAAAAGATTTTTTTTATTTACTTATTTATTTAGAGTGTGCATGCACGTGTGAGCAGGGGGAAGGGTAGAGGGAGAAGGAGAGAATCCCAAGCAGATTCCCTGCTGAGCATGGACCTCAATGCAGGCTCAATCCCATGACCCTGAGACCATGACCTGAGCCAAAAACAAAAGTTGGGCATTTAACCTACTGAGCCACCAGAGTGCCCCAGGAGACATAGTTACAGTTTTTAAGGTTTGATGTATGCTTAATGGTAAGGGCCAGTGAGAAAGTTTCTTCTAGTAGATTAAATGGTATTTGTGAGAAATAAAAGAAATTTTTTTAACACTGTATTTTATTTGATAGGGATGAATAGATTTTAATACAATAGAAAATAAAGCAAAACACCTCAGTAGCACAGATAAGTAGTTTTCGGACAAAGAGAACTTTTGGAAGAGGGTGGAGATTTCCATTTGTAATATGTGATCAGACGGGCAAGATTTGAAGAAAAGATAATGCCTCTTGCCTGGTAAGGAAGAAATGAGAATTTATGAGATCCTATGATTCTACAGTGGAATACTTAGATCAGCTTTCTATGGTTAAGATCTACTTTTTTCTTCTTGGAACTTAAGTAGGAAAAAATTGAATAGCAATTTTAAATTGCTTTATTGGCACAGCTCTATCTTTAACTGCACTTCCAAATGTTTCATCACCTCACTGTTACTATGCATGTTAACATTTAAAAATATATTCTTACAGTTTTCTAATTCATTGACACTACATGCTATATTAGCTTGAGCCCATCATTATTTAAAAACATTTCTATTTTTAATAAATTTTATTTCATTGAGCTTACAAAAATGTCTCAATTTTTTTATTTTAAGCCTATGCTTAGAGTATGGTTGAAATTAGTACTATATTTTTCATGTTCATATAGTTCCTACTCTTCATAATTTTTCTTTTTTTACAGATATTGATGATGCTCAAATACTTCCCCGCCCAACTAGAGTCAGACATTTTTCACAAAGTGAAGACACTGGAAATGAAGTTTTTGGTGCTTTGAATGAGGAGCAGCCATTGCCTCGAAGTAGCAGTACTTCTGACATCTTGGAACCATTCACTGTTGAACGAGCCAAAGGTGCAGTTCCTGTCATTGACAGTTCATCCCGTCATGCGCCAAGCTTACAGAGTTCCACAGAGGCTTCTTCAATAACTAGATCCACTGAAAGCCACATCACTGATACTCACAGTAGAGAGTCTTCTCTGGAAGTTGGTGATAGCATATATGACCATCTTTGTCACTTAATAGATCCAGTAGAACTTGCAGATTCAGCTTTTGAACAAATCCAGTACATTGACCTTGAAGGAGATGACGATCTTCTTACCTCCCTGAAAGAATATTTTAAGGAAAACCAGGAAAATCATAGTAAAAATGAGTTAGGTAAAGATGCAACTTCTGAGGAAGTAATTATTGCAGTAAATAGGGATGAACGATCATCTTTAGATAAATTAGAATATGTAGACCAGGAAAGTAAATCAGAAAATATCACCTCTTTTGTTGGGACTCCTGAAAACATTGAGTTTCAAAAAGAACCAGCTGCCTTCGTGAGTAGTGTTGCGCCTAACCAGTTAGACAGTTTTATGAGAACCAAAACTTATGAAAAACCCGAGGAACTAAAAAATGATAAACAATCATCAGAACGTAGCTCAGGTAGCCCTTGTGATAAAGAAAAAAGGAAACACCTGTATAGACAAAGAGCCACAGAATTAGATGCCTGTGTAGATGTAACAGTAGTCGAAAAGGTTAAGGGTGTGCAAATTAATGAAAAAATCACTGTCCCACATGTTATGCATACCAAGAAAACTACACTAAAAACACCTGTTAACCATAGACTGCCTCCTGTTACAAACACTAGCAAACTTTCTCCAACTAAAAGGAGCTTGTCTGAAACAGTAACTCATAGAGCCAAAATCATGAAAATTACTACTAAAAAACGAAATACTGTTCATGTTACTTTTAGACCATCTACTGAATCAGTTCAGTTTTATAATCCTCTGGAAAACAAAGAGGCTCCATGGAAGATGAGACTGCGGAAGCTTGGTGGCTTCAGTAGTAGTAGTGGCAGTAGCACCAGCAGCGCCAGCAACCTCCATACCAGCTCAAATAGTTTTACAGAGTTAGTAAAACCTGGTGTGTACAGGCCTCTAGATACACTTGGTACAGCATCAGTAAGTAAAACAACTAAGGAATCTACAGAGATTCCCACCACTGTATTACAAAAAGAAGGAGTTGCAAGTAATCAGTTAGGTAGTCGTAGTACTCTTAGGTCATCAAGTCATGAGGCAGGACTACAGCAGGGCTCCCTGGGTGGCGTTTATAAAACTGTTGTACATGCTCTTTCGAAGCCGAAGGCAAATGTTTCCCCACAGAGGCAGAACAGAATGCCACCAGAGGCTCCACTGAGGGATCTGTACAGTCATGTAATGGGCTATTTTGGAAGGAAAGCTGCAGGTGAGCACTAACAGTGTGCAGAGCGCAAAAGGAGAAAGACAGCACCAGTTTGGCTTAATGCAACTGAAGCGAGCTATAAGCAATCAAAAAGCTTTGGGATGGTCACTGCTTTCTCTCTGTTTGGTTATGCATGCGCCTTTTCCCAGCTGTATTTTTCCCAGCATAAAATGTTTATTTAAATTACTAATTTCCCTTATAAGGCATTTAGTTAAACCTCTTTGCTGCTGAACAAGATAGGAAAGAGGAAGATACAGGAAAATTTTAATGACCTTTCAGAGGCTATCTAAATCAAATATTTTTCTGAGTATGTACTACATGAGCCGTGAAATTAAGTTTACTAAGTAGTTGGAATACTTTCCCCTGCCCCCTTATAGTTTATATTTAAAAGGGCACTGGCTATATCTAATTGACTTCATTATTTTTATTGATGAGTTACATGCTTTTAGATATTTTCTTGGAAGAAAATTACTTTGGCATTATGTAACATAATGGAAATCAAGGTCTGACAACCAGCATCAACAGTTTTAGTTATCCTTGAAGGAGAAATTCTTTCTTAAATCTCAAAGTGGATTTAGTTACTTTTCAAATAAGCCATTTCAAAATAAGCTGTAGGCTTTTTAGTTTTGCATTCATTTGTATAGAATGCAAGTCCTTAAAACACTTACCAGAACTTTTCTTTTTTCTGAGATTTTAGATGTACATAAAGGTTTCATGATAGCCAATCATGATTTAAATATGGAACCTCTATGGACAGATTACAGAAAGCAAGATTATGGTAACTCTCTTCTCTTATCTTGATTCAAATTTAAAATAACTTTACAGATATAGAAAATTAACTTTCAGCAGTAAGGTAGGTTTTGATTTTGTTTGTTTAACATGGTTTTGTTAGCATGATTAACAGAATGCTGTATAATGCATCTTGCATTGAGCCATTAATGCCACTTGAGGGCAGTATTTGACAGCTTAGCAAAGCCTGGCCAGTAATATAAAGATAATGGTATTTCACAGTGAACTCTTGACCAGTGTATTTTCTTGACCTGAAATGCTTTTTACTTCATTAGGAGTATAAGCAATACTGGTTTTCTTCTAGTTGCAGAGAAATTAATTTTTCAACAGCATAATAGTGAAATAAATATTTATTTCTGTAAGTTTTTTCCCAAGGTTAAAACTTTGTTAATGTAGTCATAACAAAATCAAAATAACTTTTGTGGGTTTTCTTTTTACAGAAAAACCTTTGTGAAAATAAACCTCTTTTTTCTTAAAGCAGTAATGTTAGACTTTGTAGTGAATATAAATGATATTATGTCACAATTATGGATTTTTTTCTTTATCTAAACGGAAATGCATTTATATCCCACTGAGATGTGCGTAGATTCAAGGGATAGATTCCTTGCAGATATTTTTTGAGAAGAATGGAATTCTAAGTTATTAAGGCTCAAAATAGAAGCATAGAAGCAGGAAGAAAGATAAATATACCAGTTTCTTTATAGGCAATATTAACCTAACTCCAACTAGTGCTTATCTATAAGCTTTCTTGCTGTTTAAGGTTATACTGAAGATTGACTAACATCTGCTTAGTTAAATAAAGTAAATATCAATTTACTAATTCTTAAAATTAAATCTAAAAGGAGAGAAATTATTCGTAAATGCATGTTTGGCAAATAATTGATATGGCATAGGTGATTTGTTTTGGATTGCTTTTGTTTGTTTCAGATTAGGAAATGCAGTTAAGTCTTTTCTCACTATATATAGTTATTTATTTATTTTTAGTCAATAAAGAGGACATGAGCCCAAAACTGCCTCCTCTTAATAGTGATATTGGCAGCAGCAATGTTAATGTTCCTGATCTGATGGATGAGTTTATAGCAGAACGACTTCGAAGTGGTAATGCCTCAGTAAGTGTTGTTTTATTTCATTTATTTGGTTTAGCAAGGAGAGTAGAGAAATTAAAGGATACTTACTTTTGTGTGTATGTGTGTTTGTAAATTTTTATTCAAAATAATCTTCCGGGCAGCCCTGGTGACTCAGTGGTTTAGTGCCACCTTCAGCCTGGGGTAGGATCCTGGAGACCGGGGATCGAGTCCCACGTCAGGCTTCTTGTATGGAGCTTGCTTCTCCCTCTGCCTGTGTCTCTGCCTCTTTCTCTCTCTGTCTGTCATGAATGAATAAATAAAATCTTTAAATAATAATAATAATAATAATAATAATCTTCCTCTAAATTTAACCCTTTTTTGAATTAAGATTTTTAAATTATACTTTTATAATATTTTTTATTTAGAGACATAAAACAAATAGGCTTATAGTTTTGACCAGGGTAAAATATGAGAATACCTATTTGCTTAACTACTTAGGTATAAGCCCCTACCTTCCTAGTCTTCCCTATGTTTTTCATATTTGCTCATAGGTTACCTTCTTACCCACTGCTGACCCTTAACAAAAAAAGATAACAATGGAGGTCTTCCGATCCAATTCCCATAAATTTGATAGCATAAATGTTGATGTTTAATCATTGCAGCTAACTTCAGAATAGACTTTAAAGTTATCTTTGAAAAAAAATAAATAAAGTTATCTTTGTTTTACTAGAATTACAGCAAAATGAAAATAGAACAATTTTATCCCAATAATGCTTAATTGTTAAGGAAAGATAAATATATGTGGAATTGCTTTTTTTAAATAGTCATATTCCAATTGGATTTTTTAAGTGTTTTTTGAGACAGAGAGTAAGGGACAGGACATAGAGAATCTGAAGCAGACTCCCTGCTGACCATGGAGTCTGACATGGGCTCAATTCCAGGACCCTGAGATCATTATCTGAGCCAAAATCAAGTCAGATGTTCAAGCAACTGAGCCATGCAGAGCATCTCCATTGGGATTTGAACTTGTCTTTAGTGAATGTCTATAGCTCCATTACATTTCCCTTTTATTTTTAGTTTAGTTTTTTTTTCCTTGAATGGGAAAAAATAATAGAATCATTATATATAATCATTATAGAGTAATCTCTTTGCTATCATTCTTTCTCCCTCCACTAGCTCTTCTATTTGCTGCTCATTTTTCCATTTGAATATTTTACTCTTTCTACTGTCCTTACTTCACTCCATGGATCCTTTGAGGCTTAGAGTCTTAGGCCCAACACCATATGATAATTGGGTCTCTACTTTAGACAAACCACTAGTACTTCAGGTTATGGCTCCATGCAGTTACATAAATTGTTCAGTTAGTGTGTTTTCCCCCTCCTATGTTAGGCCCGAAGTCTGAACATTTATTTGATGATTGTCCTGGAAATTCAAGATTTCAGATGTTTAATGAGAATAAAATTTTTTTAATGGTAAGCTGTTTCTTGAATTTTTAGACTATGACAAGAAGAGGAAGTAGTCCAGGCAGTCTTGAAATTCCCAAAGACCTCCCTGATATTCTAAATAAGCAAAACCAGATGCGCCCAATTGATGACCCAGGTGTGCCCTCAGAATGGACTTCTCCTGCCAGTGCAGGGAGCAGTGATCTTATCAGCTCAGATAGTCATTCGGATTCATTCAGCGCTTTCCAATATGATGGCCGAAAATTTGACAGCAAGTATCTTTTTCTGTTTGAGCAATATGTTTTTTTGTTGATTGTTTTCTGTTTAAAACTGACTTATGGATTATGTAACCATTAACTTTCTCTCTAATGTTATTTAGACAAGAGTTCCTACATATTTTGATTTCATTATTCAGTGAAATTCCAAAGGAAGTTTTAGGGAATTACTTCAAGTTTATTTTATTTCACCAAACTTAAAGCACTTGAAAAACAAAAAACAAAAAAAAAAAAAAATCACTCTCCTTTCCTAAAACAAATGATATTTTAAGACCATGTAGAAAGGAAAAAAAAACATTAGAGTGGACTTGACATTAGAATAAAGGACAGTCATGGTTATGAGTTGGTACTACTTCATGCACTTATATTTGGGAACCACTGTTAATAAGTTCAGTGCTTCAGTAGTATGTTCAGTACAGTTTTATTCAGTGTTCCATTACCCAGAGCCTCTCTTGAATAATCACTTCATGTTAAAAGACAGCATTGATATTATTTGGTGCTGTATCATTACCACATAGCTTTTCTGCTATAATTATGTATTTATTCCACATGCAGTGAAGAGTACCAAAATTTAAACAAAAGAACATGAAAACCTTGGGAACTAAGTTAGTGAAGAGCTAAGAGATGCATTAGAGAAACATGTTTTCTGTTTTCATGGATTATATACTACCCTGATCTCAGAATGGAATATATGATTTAAGACAAAAATGTCTTTACCATACCAGATTATAAAGTTCTTCAAAAGCATACTACCAGGTCTGAGAAAACCTGGATAAAAATATTGATGATACATCATATGTGTCTGTTTTTTGTCCTTATTGTTGTTAGTAATAAACTGTGAGAACCTTTAAAAATTTGTTTCTCATTATGAACTTCATACTGTTAACATTATTTGCATTTACCTGAGTGGTATGTAAATAGAATAGATTTAAGAGGAATGTTAATGTTTAATCATTTTGCTGAAGTAGCTGTGTTTCTTTTGTAAATATTTTTGTTTTGTATTTGAGACTTCTATGTCCTAGCATTTCTTCTTCCTTTAGATTTTGGCTTTGGAGCTGATACTGGGATTATATCTTCTGCTGATGTGGATTCAGGTTCTGGCCATCATCAGAGTGCTGAAGAGCAAGAAGTGGCTAGTCTAACTACACTTCAGATAGATTCTGAAACAAGCAGTCTTAATCAACAAGCTTTCTCTGCTGAAGTTGCAACGGTTACTGGTAAAGTTACTAAAGGGGAATATCTTACTTAAGTGCATTTTTTAAGCCACCAAAGAATCTGTTTAAGATTTTATTTGATAGATTTTAAGTATTTCTTACTACAATTTAAGCATTGTTTTTTCATTCATCTTTATGTAACAATGGAGGAAAAAAAAATACATTGATATAAGAGTTTCTTGACCTGGAGTCTACATGCTAAGTTTCAAGGGGCTAGGTGAATTAATATTGTATATAAAATTTTAAATATTTTTGCATCACTGCATTTCCTGCAGCAGTTTTTAAATCGATAAAACATAGTTGAGAAGTACTTCCTTCTTTTCATTGTCTTTCAGAGTTAGCCCAGATTTTTATAGATTTCTTTGGCAAAGTATTATAGAAACTGTAGAGAATACTGCCTAATAGAAGACCTATATATCAATATACTAATATTTATACAGTAAATTATGCTTTTCAGCAGGTTTTTAATGTGGTCAAATATATGATGGGTAGGATCCAAGAAATTCAGTCATGAAATGGAGGGTCACATTATTGCAAAGTTAATGCAGTGACCAGAGGGATCCTGAGCAGCTAGTAACCCATAGTTTAGTGGTTCCACAGTGTGATCCAAAATTCACTTTGGTTTTCACTGTAACTTGATTCTCTTTGATGGGTGATTATCCATTCCAATTTAGAGATTAGTAGTTTGCATCCTGTGTTTGCAGAAACTTGTAAGACTGGACATGATTTCTGCATGTCTGAATTAGGCACATTTCCTCAGCAAAATCAAACAGATGAAATTTGACCAGTGGAATCTTTGATGGGCAGGAACCCATCCTTTGTTTTCACATTCTACCTCTTCTTTTCCACCTCTCTTCTCTTAGAGGATAAGTAAGAACTATAGCCTAACCCATTGCAAAATAGGGGCTCAGTGGACAGGAGCCAATTGGGTGAGATCACAGTTCTGTTATTACAGAATTTAAATTACTCAAACAGAAATACTAGAGAAAATCTTATTTCATAATAAATACCTTTTATTGTAGCTGTTCTTAAAATAAATGTAGATGAGAATATACTCAACATTACTAATTATCAGAGAATGTTGATAACCATGAGATACCGCTACACACATATTTAACTCAAGGTAAAAATACTGACAATACCAAGTATTGAAGAATGTGGAACAGTTGGAAATATCATAATATCAGTAATGGGAATACAGAATGGCAAGGTCACTGTGCCAAAATATGGCAGTATCTTTTAGAAGTAAACATGCATTTACCTGTTGACCATCACTAGGTATTTATTTACCTCAAGCAGCTGTATGTGAAAGTTCATGACAGTATTGTTCACGTAGCTAAAAATTGAGAACAACCCAGGTGTGTCTACCAACTACTGATGAATAATCAAATTGTAATGGAGTATTTCATTGAATATTTATTTATTGGAATGTACTCAACAAAATATGTATTTTAGTATATGTAAAACCATAGCTGATTCTCAAAAACATACTAGATGAAAGAAGTCAAATACAAAAGACTACATACCATACTTTATTATTCCATGTAAAGGAAATTCTAGAGAATACAAAACTGTAGTGGTAAAGCAGATCAGTGATTACTTGGGGCCAGGAGTCAGTGGAGGATCAACTGCAATTGGGCACAAGAAAGCTTTTAATGTTGATGGACAGTTCTCTATTTTGATTGTGTTATTGATTACAGGACTATGTACAATTGCCAAATTAATGTAATAGTATACTTAAAATGACTTAAAAGGGGTTTATTTTCTACTGTAACACAAATTTTAATACTATCAAAACTCTAAATTTTTGAACAGTGTAGAGAATTTAATGAACCTTGAAAAGGGTGGAATTTCAAAGTAGAAATAATAAAAAGGCTAAGAAGTTTTCTAACTGGTTTAGGGATCTACTGCATAACCCTTCCAGGCTGTAAGTCCAAAGAATCCCACCAATATGTGTCTTTGTCTTAATCTGGGTACCAACTATTCTGAAGGAATGAAGAGTTTGTAAACATTATTTCTAGTAAACTACATGGGTTTCTTCTAGTTTCCTTAAAGCCCTCAGATTATTAATTAGACTATGATGTTTTCACAAGACAATAATAGGTAAAAGAAGTATGATCACTTTTTATTTCTCTTTAGTCGTCAAAAATGGAATTCTAGACAAAAATTCTAAAAATAAAACTTAATATTCAGAGAGAATTTGTTTTAGGGCTTTTGCCTCTATGATTTTTATTAAGTGATTGAACTTCTAAGAATTTTTAATGTATATGTAACCTATGTTTACCACACATAGTAACTATTTCTAAACTCTACTAGGAAGTTTTATAAGGGATTGTAATCTTGATCACTGTCATTTATATTAGTGTAGGGGTGTTTATCTAAAAAACTAAAGCAGTTCATGGATTGATTTCTATTTAAAAGACAAAATTCAGCAAAGAGTACAACTCTATATAATCAATATACAAACTATTCAACACACCTTGATTATTTTCTCAAAGTATATTTTGCATATATTCTCACATTGTTAACTTTTTAAGAATAGCTGTGTTCTATCAAAGGGATGTTAATAGTTCTGAAATCTTTCATTTTCCTGTAATATTTTCAGAAACTATAACAGAAATTTAACATAGGAAATGAGAGCAAAAATTTAATGGATAGTCTCTGCACATGAATATCACCATAGCAATACTTTGATTTTAAAAATATATTCTTTAAGAAGAGAAAGCTTGTAAGTCAGCTGTTCTAGATGGTTATTAATAAAATTAAAGACAGTAATGATTCTAGAATACCAGATCTTAATAAAAATCACTTAAAGTTTTAATTCTGAAAAATGAATCAGATTTTTATGGATGAAGATAATACATGGAGATAAGAGAAATAGATTTGTTTTACAAAGCATTTGACTAAGACTGATGATTTTTTGGTCATATACTTAAAGTTTTTGATAAGTATTAAGGAGATTATTTTCATTATGCCCTCAGCAGTTTGTGTTTATGCTAAAGAATGGAATTCTTAAGTTTCTGAAGCTATCTTTTAACATAGGATTAGTTTCAGATTACAACATAGTGATTTGACAAAAGTTAATACAGTGTTAAGATTTTCCTCATTCTGTACATTACATCTCCATGACTACTTATTTATTTTTTAACTAGAAGCTTTTACCTTTTTTTTTTTTTAAGATTTTATTTATGGGGAGAGAGAGAGAGAGAGAGAGAGACACACACAACGCAAGCAGTAGGGAGGGGCAGAGGGAAAAAGGCAGAGACTCCCTGCTGATCTGGGAGCCTGACTCAGGACCTGATCCCAGGACCCTGAGATCATGACCTGAGCCAAAGGTAGACATTTAACTGACTGAGGCACCCAGGTGATCCTAGTTTTTACTTCTTAATTCTCCCATCCCATACTGCTCTCCCCTTTGGCATGGCAAATACCAGTCATTCTTTGTGAGTCTAGGTTTTATTTTGTTTTGGTTTTTAGATTCCATATATAAATGAAATCATATGGTATTTGCCTCTTTCTCTAACTTACTTCACTTAACGTAATACCTTCGAGGTCCAGCCATGTTGTTTCAATTGGCAAGATTTCATTCTTTTTGTGACTGAGTAGTATTCCGTTGTATATAAAAACCATACCTTCTTTATCCATTCATCCGTCGATGGACACTTAGGTTGCTTCCATACCTTGGCTATTGTAAATAATGCTGCAGAGAACTATTTTTTTTTAAGATTTTATTTATTTATTCATGAGAGACACACACAGAGAGAGAGGCAGAGACACAGGCAGAGGGAGAAGCAGGCTCCATGCAGGGAGCCCGATGTGGGACCTGATCCCGGGTCCTCAGGATCACACCCCGAGCCAAAGGCGCCGCTAAACTGCTGAGCCACCAGGGCTGCCCATGCAGAGAACTATTTGAATTAGTGTTTTGTTTTCTTTAGATAGATACCCAGCAGTAGAATTGCTAGATCATATGGTAGCTCTACTTTTAATTTTTTGAGGAGCCTCTGTACAGTTTTCCAGAGTGGCTGCACCAAGTTACGTTGCTTGTGCACCAACAGTGCACAAAGGTTTCTTTCTCTCCACTTCATTGCCAGTACCTGTTATTTTTTGGTCTTTCTGATTATAGTCATTTTGACAGGTGTAAGGTGATATCTTATTGTGGTTTTGATTTACATTTCGTTAATGTTCAGTGATATTGAGCATCTTTTCATTTCATTTCTGTTGACCATCTGTATGTCTTCTTTTCAAAAATATTCAGGGACACCTGGGTGGCTCAGTGGTTGAGCATGTGCCTTCAGCTCAGGGCATGATCCCACAGTCCTGGGATCGAGTCTTGCATCTAAATTTTATCTGTTTATTCATGAGAGATGCAGAGAGAGAGAGACATAGGCCGAGGGAGAAGCAGGCTCCCTGTGCGGAGCCTGATATAAGACTCCATCCCAGCATCCCATGATCATGACCTGATCCAAAGGCAGATAGATGCTCAACCACTGAGTCACCCAGGCATCCTTTTTTTTCCCCCTTTTTTTAGTCTTGTTGAATTTATTGAGACTTGTTGTGTGACTTATATTTGATCTTTCTTGGAGAATGTTCCATGTGTACTTGAGAAGAATATGTATTCTGCTTTGGATGGATTGTACTGTGCATATCAATTAAGTCCATCTGGTCTAATGTATCATTTAGGGCTCATCCTTCTTTATTGATTTTCTGTTGAAAAGACATAATATTTTAGTGGCTTAGTTAGTCCTAGTAGCACTCCCATACAACCACCACAAATGGTGGTTCACTGTAGTATTAATTTATGCTATACGTAAATTAAATTATCAAAAATTCCTGCTATGTGCCAGACATTATACTAGGCACTGGCGATAATACTTCAGTATGTAACACGACTACAATCCCTGTTCTCACAAAATATATGACTAGTGAAGATATTTAAAACTATCTCCAAAACTAAAAGGTTTCAGGTCAGTGAGTAGTATAAGTAGTATAATGGGGAGGTATGAGTGCAAATAGCAGAGACTACTTATTCAGCCTGAATACTTATTCAGCCTTGATACATCAGCACTGGGTAGGCTTCTCTGGAAGAGGTGTCGAAGATGAGACCTGAAAAATAAGTTAACCAGATCTATAAGACCAGTATTAGGGCTCCATGCAGAGAAAAACATAGGGAAAAAGGCCAGAGGTATGCTACGTTCAGATAAATACCAGCAGTTTACTTTCTATGGCTAGAACTTAAAAGTACTAGGGGAATTATGGAGTGATTAAGAAAGTTGCAGAAAGACTGAAAAACCACACACTAAGAAGTTTGGACTGGTGCTGTGGCCAGTAAAGAGCCATAAAATCCATAAAAGATTTTAAATGAGGGAGTACTATCGGATTAGTTTTTTTGTTTTTGTTTTTGTTTTGTTTTTGTTGTTTTGTTTTGTTTTTTTGCTGCCTTATGAAGAATGGACTGAGAAGGAATGTGGGGGGTGGGGACTGAAGGTGCGACCACCAAGGACCACAGTACACCAGGCTAGCAATGATAGTAGCATGTAGAGCCGCAGTGAACAAGTTCCTCTTCTCTTAAATTGCCCCAAGTCTGAAGTAAGTGGAATAGAGTAGCAGTGGGTCCTAGAGTTTCCGTAGCTGGACCAGGAATGGGAGTAGATATTCTCTCACTGATGACTTCTGTCAACTGGTATTGGTATGTCCAGTTCTGATTCCATATGAATCCCATGGAAGAAATCAAATGACACTCCTAAATACAAAATCTTATACCATATTACGATTTTATTTACTACTTTGGCCAATTTATAACCTGTTTAATTGTTTGATGCTTTTCAGTTGTTTAATAGAGTCTTATTTATTTATTTTAATAGAGGTTTAAGCATTACATCTTAGAGGATATTGAATATTCTCTTTATGGTAATTTTTATGAAATTGTCTTTATAGGTTCAGAAAGTGCTTCTCCAGTCCATTCAGCTTTGGGATCCAGGTCACAGACACCTTCTCCTTCCACACTGAATATAGATCATATGGAACAGAAAGATCTGCAGCTTGATGAGAAGCTCCACCATTCTGTTCTTCAGACTCCAGATGACCTAGGCAATATTTGGAAATTAGATATTTGCCATTTTTTTCTTTCAGGGCATTAGTGTTAGGAGATCTTACTATTTAAGTTATTTAAAATATTATTTTTGAGAGGGATAAGTTAGTGACAAATCAGTTGATTTATTAAAAGATTATGAATCGGGAGATGTTAACAATGATGGTTAAAACTGCAGTATTTTTTGTTTTCTTTTATTTCAGTGGGCTTATACCAGACTTTTATTTTTTTATTATTGTGAAAGACAATTGAGTATCTTTTTTATAATACAATCAGTTATTATAGACTTTAAGCACAAAGAAACAGGCTCGTGAAGACTTCCTGTAGGAATTGCCTTCAGCCTGAGATTTTCTATTAATTGATGATACAACCTGAAGTAGCCATTTGATGAAAGAGAGAGTATGTACTTATAAATATGATCTTTATATCAAACACAAATTTCTCTCTCTAGTATCTACCTCATTTTCTCCTTAGGTAAATCCTGGTACAGGTGGTATTGAATAAGTAATTATTGCTGTAATAAAGAATTATGAACTGGTGAGGTTTTGATCTTATCAGGAAAAAAATAGCACTAATGCATGTTGACATTTTTAAAATTCACTTTTGTAGATATTTAAGATTGTTATTTTGACTCCTTTGTGTTTTTGTGATCAATTCTTTAGAAGAATTACTGACACTCATGTATTTTTTTCTATAGAAATCAGTGAATTTCCATCTGAATGTTGTAGTGTGATGGCAGGGGGTACACTCACAGGATGGCATGCTGATGTTGCTACTGTAATGTGGCGAAGAATGCTAGGTATTTTGGGAGATGTCAACGCTATTGTGGATCCTGAAATACATGCTCAAGTTTTTGATTACCTCTGTGAACTTTGGCAAAATCTAGCTAAGGTAAAAAAACAAACAAAAAACCATACATACATATGAGGAGAAAGAAAAGTGTTAAGAAGTAGAAGCCTTAGATCTCATTGCCACCCATCACCCTCCTTACTATAAACTGGTACCTAGCAAAGTGAAGTCACTTAACCATGTTTAAATATATAATTAGTGATAGGAATTGGACTTGAACTCAAGTTAAAGGTAAAACAAATTGGAAGAACACTTTATAGGTTTGTTGCATTTTATTTGAAAATTACAGATTAGAGATAACCTCGGCATTTCAACTGATAACCTGACCTCCCCTTCACCTCCAGTTTTGATTCCTCCACTGAGAATTCTTACACCTTGGCTTTTCAAGGTAAGCTTAACATATAAAACATGAATTTAAAAGGTTCATTTAGTAAATACATATGTAATTGGTGTTAAACATTTGATAGATTCTTTAGCTTTTTTGTATAGTCTTCTAGAACACTTTAGTTTTTAACTAGTCATTGAGGGTCATATAAAGAGAATGGGTGTACCAAAATTGTACAGATGCATCATTTTTACTTATTTAATAAAACAAAAGTGAATGTAGAAAATTGTGTTTTATATTTAAGTGAAGTGTTAATCTCAAATTTAAGATTTAAGTATTATTTAATATGTTTGGTGTGTTTTCCTAAACAAAACAATATGTGGTTATCCATACTCATGTTGTTTTGTTTTAATGTTAACAGTAGTTTCAGGAATCCTAATAATTGATTCATTAAGAACTTGGGCCAACATAGAAATAAATGAAAACAAAAATATTACTTGCTGTATTCAATTTTACAGTATTTGTTTTTGAGTATTAAAATGAACACTTAAATTAACACTTTTAAACACTTTTAAATTGTAGGCAACCATGTTGACTGATAAATATAAACAAGGTAAATTACATGCTTACAAACTTATTTGTAATACAATGAAAAGAAGACAAGATGTTTCTCCAAATAGAGATTTTCTAACACATTTCTACAATATAATGCATTGTGGATTACTTCATATTGATCAGGTAAATAAATATATACTCTCTAACCAATTGCTTTATAAGTTTATCTTTGATTCCTGATTTTGTAACTCTTAACTTTTAAGGTCTAAAATTAAAATAATCTTTTATGTAGTCATTTATTTACAAGTTTCTTCCATTTTATATAACTTCATTTGTTCTGGAACCCTGGTTGAAAAGCTATTATAGTTAGGGGGTCAACTTGTTTATTAAATGTATCTTTTCTCTAATGTTATAACAACTAGTTAGCTTTCTGAAGATATTAAACCATCTTTTGCTTAGACTGACTGCATTCCTTTAATGTAGTAATATACTTATTCCTTGCATGTTTTGTAATTGTTACTTAATAATTGACACTTGAGGCATATAGATTTGCTCCTCTAGTCATGCAACAGTCAGATTTTTTCCAAACTAGGAACACATCGTATTCTCTTATTTCCATAGTTTGTATTAGCATAGTGACAATTCTATTGACTTTGCATTTGTATCAATACAGTCATTATATTCAACAGTCATAAATATGACTCTAGAACACTACTTTGGGGGTTCTTGATCCTGGCCATAAAACTAAAAAAAATATCCATGTGAGATTGTAAGTCATATGTAAGTCAAATGTAATGAAACATTTTAATCATAATGTTAAATTTCACTTGCAGTTCTTTTAAAGAACATTAATGTTTAAAGAGGTAATTATACTCTCTTCCTGAAAAATGAAAATACTTCTTGCATTAATTTGAAATAGTTACTTTACAATGTCCTACCTTATGAACATTTCTCAAACAAAATGATACCAGGGATCCCTGGATGGCGCAGCGGTTTAGCGCCTGCCTTTGGCCCAGGGCATGATCCTGGAGACCCGGGATCGAATCCCACGTCGGGCTCCCGGTGCATGGAGCCTGCTTCTCCCTCTGCCTATGTCTCTGCCTCTCTCTCTCTCTCTCTCTCTCTCTCTCTCTCTCTCTGTGACTACCATAAATAAATAAAAATTTTTTAAAAAATGATACCCTTAATTACTGGACAAAGAGACCTTTCATTTAAGATAAATCAGATTGAGTAAAACAGCAAAACACTGCATCCTCATGTTGAATTCCAGAGGCAAAGTGAATGAATAACCAAATTAAGAATACTCCCTCAAAAAAGCCTAGGTTTATATTTCTGAGGCTAGATATTTGTCATCAAAGGACTTCAGTTTATCCAGTAAAGGGAATCTCTCCAGCCACATGGTAGGTCATATAGCTTTAGAAATCAGAGATCTCACATGGAAGCAAGTAAATGAGAGAAGGAACCACACTGCAGTTCAGTTTTATGACACATGGAACTTATATTTTCAACCCTCTGAAGCAGAGAGCCTTCCAACTTGCTCTCTAATGTGAAAAAAAAAATGCTTTATTGACGTCAGTTAAACAAATGTGTTTTGAGTTTACCTTCCTTTGACAGAGTATGATACTAAACATGGATATTTAGAAGAATTAAAATTGGTCTTGCCAATTAGGCAGTTATTGCCTGTTATACTGTTCCAAGTTACCTATTTGTAAGGATATTGATTAGCTAATGCTCAAGATTAATTTATGATATTCTTTTTCCCTTCTTTTCCTACATCTAAGGATATTGTCAATACAATCATCAAGCACTGCTCACCTCAGTTTTTTTCACTTGGTTTGCCTGGTGCCACAATGCTTATTATGGATTTTATTGTAGCAGCTGGTAGAGTGGCTTCTTCAGCTTTTCTCAATGTAAGTTTTTATTTCCTGCTCTTCATAATATAACAGACTATAGTTATACAGGACTCAACAAAGTAACAAAGGAGGAGCCCTTGTTAATAAATTTAACAAGCCAATGTTCAGGAAAATTTACAGTTTAATTGAAATAGCTTTTTTTAGGGCAGCCCCGGTGGCGCAGCGGTTTAGCGCCGCCTGCAGCCCAGGGTGTGATCCTGGAGATCGGGGATCGAGTCCCACGTCGGGCTCCTTGCATGGAGCCTGCTTCTCCCCCTCTACCTGTGTCTCTGCCTCTGTGTGTGTGTGTGTGTGTGTGTGTGTGTGTGTGTTTCTCATGAATAAATAAATCTTAAAAAAATAGCTTTTTTAAAAATTAAGTTTTGAAGTACAAGAAAGTACTACAATTAGTTGATAAATTGACATATGAACTATAAAAATGGATTAAGTCTGATTACAAAACAAAATTTAAAATTGAAGATATCTAAGGAAACAAGTAGAGGGAGGGAGGAAACTAAAGAAAGGTTAATGGGCCATAGCAAAAGAGAAGGCCCAGTGGTGAGATAATCCATAAATATGCTCTAGAAGTAAACTCTAAAACAGCATGTGAGGATTTTTCTTAACATTTATGGGGCTATGAGACAATGCCAAGTAACTCATTATAGTTGGAAGATGCACACATTTAAGTAGCAGAGGTAAACTGAATAGGAAGACAGTAGCTGGTTTATAGTACTAAAAAGGTTAGATTTCATTCCAAGGAGAGAATGAGTAAGCATTGAGGGATTTTATATAAGGAGTGACATCAAATTTCTATTTGAGAAAGATCACTCAGGCAAATATAAATGAGAAATAGCAATCAATTGGAAGTCTACTAGAATAAACTAAGAGTATTTGGGAGAGAAAAATCAGCCATACTTGACCATTACTTTATAACTTAGAAAGCAGTTTAAAATAAATTATTTCACTCATAAGCTGTGCAAAAAGACCAACAGTGAATGAGAAAGAGTTCTATTCAGAGCATAGGAAGCTGCTTATTAGAGAGATCCGTGAGAAGATATCAGGAGAGCCATTGCATTGGGAGCTCATAGGAGATGTCAGGACTGAAGTGGAAAGCTGGGAGACATTAGCTTATACATTACATGTTATTGAAGGCCATGAAACTAGATGCAGTCACCTAGAAGAAATGATCAGATAAGGGAAGAACTTGTATTTATAGCTAGTTATTAACTCTGTTTCTCCAATTTCATAAGAACAGTGATCATGTCTTACTCATCTTGGTACCTCCAGGACCTAGGGCAGCACCATGCTCAAGGTGTTTTTTAATTGATAACAACCATAGAATGTAGGGCATAAATAAGTATCAATAGGAGGCACTTAATATAGTGGTTAAAAAGCATGGAATCTAGGGGCACCTGGGTGGCTCAGTGGGTTAAGCATGTGACTTCAGCCCAGGTCATGATCTCAGGGTCCTGGGATTGAGCCCCAGGTCAGACCCCCTCCCCTGTTCCTCTCCCTCTGTTCCTCCCCCCGCTTGTGCACACGTGCACGTGCTCTCTCTCTCTCTCAAAATAAATAAATAAAATCTTAAAAAATCATGGAGTCTAGAGCTGGGCTAACTGGGTTCAAATCCCACCTCTGCCACTTAGTAGACGTGAGACTTTATGCAAATTACTAAATTTCTGTGTTTCTCAGTTCATCTATAAATTGTCCTCATAGGGTAATTTTATAAGGATTAAATTAACATTTGTAACATGGTTTGAATATTATTTGGACACCTTGTGTATGTGCAATATAAGAGTTTAATAAATTCAGTTGATAATTCAGACGAAAGACCTTGTGTAGGGATATCAGGAGTATTTCATGGAAAATATATTTGAATAGGCCCTTGAAAAATTAGTAGTAATTTTAGAAGTGAAAATGTTGATGAGGGAAGGTATGCTAAGAGGGAAACAGGCATGAGTAAGCTGTGTTTTAGGAATGACAAATACCCCGTCTTTTTTTGAAGTAGGTTAATCTATCTAGAGAGTAGTGGACAGAAAGAACAGAAGGGTAGTTTAGGTCCTAGCTACGAAAAGTATGATCTGCACACCAGAAACATTTGGCATGTTCTAGGTGCTTGTTAGAAATTCAGAGTCTCGGAGCAGCCTGGGTGGCTCAGCAGTTTAGTGCCGCCTTTGGCCCAGGGCATGATCCTGGAGACCCGGAATCGATGGGCTCCCTGCATATGGAGCCTGCTTCTCTCTCTGCCTGTGTCTCTGCCTCTCTCTCTCTGTGTGTCTCTCATGAATAAATAAAAAAATAAAAAAAAAAGGAAATTCAGAGTCTCAGACCTCATTCCATACCTAGTGAAACAGAATGCATGTTTCAACTATATTCCAGATAATTGGTATGGACATTGAAGATTGAGAATCACTGCCTTAGACTACCTTTGGAAGGTCTTGAATGGGAGGGATCAGGTGATAATGCTATATTAGAGAAACAGTTAAATTTTTTAAAGTAAAGAGATGTTTGAATCTGTGCTTTGACAATGTTAAAATAAGTATATTAATCTAGGAGTAAATTAAATGGAAGGCAAATAAAGATGGTAAGTTACAAGGCTATTTTTGTATTAGTGTACACAGACTATCAGTCTTTTGGGTACTATCATAAATTGGTAGAACTCAGAGGAGACTGATACATGAATTACTGTAATTTTTCATCAACTTACTGTGAAAATAATTACTATTCTGTAGGCCAGTTATTCTAGGTGACTGATCAGCACATTTCCTGTACTTTTTCAAGATTCTGCAGGAGAATTATTAAGCCCTGATGTCCTTGGGCATCCATTTTTTTTTTAAGATTTTATTTATTTATTCATGATAGACATAGAGAGAGAGAGAGAGGCAGAGAGAGAAGCAGGCTCCATGCCAGGAACCCAATGTGGGACTCGATCCCGGGACTCCAAGACCACGCCCTGGGCCAAAGGCAGAAAGGCAGGCGCTAAACCGCTGAGCCACCCAGGGATCCCCCGGGCATCCATTTTTTGTGACTAAATATACCTCCTATGCATCTAGAAGGATAGTAGTTCTGTAACATCCTTGCAATAATTTTAAGAATAATCATTTCCGTGGTTTATATGAGGAACACTTGTTGAGAAAGACCGCATGGAAAAACAAATTATTCCAGAAATCAAACATGACACCTCATCTCTCTCCTATAAGGTTAAAGTTAATCTTTTCTCTGGATTATGTTGGAGATACACAATTCACATCTTCCTCTTTGGATTCCATTTTAGATCCCACACACATCCATCTTCCTTTTGTTAACCAGTAGCCTCCTTTCTCCCCCTGCCAGACAGATCACAAAATAATTTATTAGATTTGCCTTTCCTTATTATAATCACTTTACAGTTATGCTCCCGTTATATCCACATAGTTCTTAGTTACCTTTTCCAACTTTAAAGAAAAACCCTTAGCTAATCTCTTTCATTAAATACTAGGTGGGTTTTTTTTTTCATCAGTTTTATTTTTATAGCTAGTTTTACTTTCTTTATTTAAAGATTTTATTCTTCTAAATAATCTCAGTACCCATTGTGGAGCTTGAATTTACAACTCTGAGATCAAGAGTCACATGCTCTACGGGCTTAGCCAGTCAGGCACCCCTGTCGCTTATTTTTAAAGTAGGATAGTGTCTACAAGCTTACCGTCTCCCTTTATAGTGTTGTCTTTTATCTGCAGATCTAGATTACTTTTTAAATATGGAAATGAGTGGTTTTGTTGATAATCATAATAAAGTACTACTCCACATTTAGAAACGTAAGGAAATTTTTTTGGAGACAAATTCTTGTTTTATGTGAATAGGAGTATTTCTAGCAGATTTTAGCATTTTTGTTAGAGATCATTAAACATAAAAATGAATATTATAGGTATTTTGGTAAATAGTGTATTAGTAGGGAGGTGTTGGTGTTTGGTGGACACGCAAGAAGGTAGAAGAAGGAAAATACTCAGTGCTGATACTTCAGAAATGGCTTAATACAGCTGAGAAAGAAAGATGAAAAGTTACCTTCATCTGTAGGCAAAGCATAAAGTCTGACTGTTTTTAGTAAGTAGTAGAGGCAATGCTTTTCTCATGTGCAAAATGCCATAAACATCATCTAGACTAGTGCCTATTTCTTGAAGATACAGTTAATGTTTTTATCCTTAATTACTTTTTTATCCTTAGATAGTAACAAATACAATCTAGTGACATAGAGTCATCTAGTCATAAGTACAATATGTTGTGGTGTGTGAGTTGTCTTTAAAATAAAAGTATTAAAAAATAATAAAAGTATATTTATTCTCAAAATTAGGGTAATTTAATGCTGTTAGCTAAGCTATATTCCTATTTACAATCCCATTAACTGTGGCTAATTTCTGCTTATTTGCTGCGTTTAAGGAGAGCTCTGCTTTTTGTTCATTATACTTACTGAGAATAGCAGTAGTTTATGTGGAAAGTAGAAGTGAAAACCTGAATCTTTAGGTTTCCTCTTTCCTTTTTAATTTTGTCTTTTGTTCTCACTTCTCTTTGTGTAATATGGTTAGGTAATAAAGTAACTTTTCTGGCAGTTTAAATGACATAATCAAATACATGTTAAAGACTTAAAAAATCTGATACATAGGCACCAAGAGTGGAAGCCCAAGTTCTTCTGGGATCTTTGGTTTGCTTTCCTAACTTATATTGTGAACTGCCTGCTCTCCATCCCAACATTCCTGATATTGCTGTGTCTCAGTTTACAGACGTTAAGGTAAGAAATCAGATGCTAATTTTTAGTGTTTAAATGGCCTTTTAATAACCGTGTATGTTCGATAAAACTTGTATTCTTTTCCTTTAGAAATTCACATAATTGTGAAAGAACGTTAACCAGTCGTACACCTCAGACATAAGCCTAAAATGTCCAGTAGGAGCACAGTCTTTTTTGTGTTTATAATTTCTTTGGAAACATTTTCTCATTATTGAATTCATTCATGTGTCAGTATCTTAGGATTTTTTCATTCACTCACAACATTTATTGAAACATCTTATGAGGCAGATACTATGCTACTTCTAAGGCTTCTAAGACTGAGATGAAACTGAACCTGCAAAAAATTTGTCTCTCTTTCCTAATTTCCCAATATGATATATCAACCAATGTAATGGAATATTCCATTTTGCTATAGGAAACTGTGAAATTGCGGTGGGGATCCTGTGTACCTGAATCATTGTAACACCTCAAAAGTCATGCTGATAATTTTTTTTAGACTTTTGCCTTCTCTGAAAGAAATTTTTTCAATCCAGTTTTCTGGATTTCTGCATGTACCTTTCATACCAGCTATATTTCTCTTTACATTTGTAATTACTTATTTAGTGTATGATGTATACTTCAGACTTACTTCAGACTTGATCTTGGACTTATCAGCCTCCAGAACTGTGAGAAATAAATTTCTGTCATTTATAAGCTACCTAGTTGGTAGTATTTTCTTTTGGTAGTACTTTATAAAAGCACAAATAGACAAAAATAAATAATTTCTGAAATTTATAACCAAATATATATATATATATTCAAAAAAAAGAATTTCTTTGGTCTTATTTACTGCTATATCCTCAGAGCTTAACATGCTGCTTGGCATCTGGTACTCTAGAAACATTTGTTAAACAAGTGAATTTCACTGACACATAAAATTGTATAGGTCAATGCAAATTTGCAATGAGAATTAATAAAAACTATACAAATTGAGTTTTGGTCTTCACAGATGTAATGTCTTTGAGTTCTTCTATTTGCAGAAGATCCTGAAGGTCAGGGATAGGTAATAGTTTTAATTTGCTTAGGCAGTTTTGAATTTATTAGAGATTAGCCTGGTTTATTATTTATGATCTGCATTTCAGAGTAGCCTTATTATCTTCTGGCCATTGTATAGGTAGTAATGGCTGAAATGATTTAAAAAATCAAAAACTTTGGTAAAGGGGTATCTCCAAAATAAAAGGTAATTCTAATAATCAAGAAAGCAAAAAGCCCAAGAAAATGATGATTCTCTGTCAGGTAACTGAAGATTTAAGGGGAAATTACATGTCATAGTGGTCATATTTAATTTTCACATTTTCACTGAAACCAGTTCCCTGTGTACTCTAAACTGCAGCCACATAGCCACATGGACCGTACCATGCTGTTTTTCGATTTTGGGCTTTTGAATTTTTTTTTTATTTATTTATGATAGTCACAGAGAGAGAGAGAGAGAGAGGCAGAGACACAGGCAGAGGGAGAAGCAGGCTCCATTCCCTGGGAGCCCGACGTGGGATTCGATCCCGGGTCTCCAGGATCACGCCCTGGGCCAAAGGCAGGCGCCAAACCGCTGCGCCACCCAGGGATCCCCCTTTTTTTTAAAAATTTTTTTTTTTTTTTTATGATAGTCACAGAGAGAGAGAGAGAGAGGCAGAGACACAGGCAGAGGGAGAGATTTTGGGCTTTTGAAAATGCATTTCTTTCTGCCTAAAACATCCATTATATAGAGCTGTTTTCCTCTTTTTGCCTCTCTTAGTTACCAAACACAAAAAATTTTAGTCTTTGACCTTGATCATTTGTCAAAATCCTGTTTACCTAAGACCCCTTTGTGAAGTCTCTATGACTTTCTGAAGTTTTATTTATTCACGTAGAACCTTGTATATGTCATCTTATTTTGTAATTGTTTACAAGTTTGCCTCCTTCCCTGGAATGTAAACTTCTTGAGGATAGGTACTGTATCTTAATCTATTTCTTTCCAGCATTTAAGACAGGATCTCCTACATAGAAAGCTCTTGGGCTTAAACAATACCTGATTAATTGTCAGCCACTGGGCTAGATACTAGGTTTACAAAGATGTGTAGAAGGTTACTTCTTCTAAGGAGCTTACAATCTATGTAACTGATAAGTGCTTTTTGGATAAATGAATCAATGAGTGAATGAATGATTTTTAAAGAAAGGAACAAATAGATTCTTAATTATCAAAACTAGTGGCATTCTTGTTTTCCTCTCCTTAATTAGCCACTATAGTATCTGTCTCATGTTGGTATTACAGACCATCCTAAATCTTTTCAACTTTGACTTACATTACACAGATCTAGCTTGATTTACTTCTTGCTTCTCAACATATTCTAGGACTCCCAAATACACTAGTGTTCTTTATCTGCCTAATAAACACAAACTTTAAGATCCTCTCTTTAAATAATTACTTTCTGTTTATTCTCCCTTTTGAATATTTTATTCATTTACATAATTTTAACTATTATTTAGCACTTATCCTCAAACTTACACATTATAATTTTTTACAAATTATTCAAAAGTTTGCTTTTAAATGAATATTTCTCAGAGTTTTGAAAAGATGCTCATACTTTTGAGCAATTAAATCTGTTTTAATTATCTTATAGTGAGCTTTTTGTTAATCTTTTAATCAGGAAAAATTCTTTTTTTGAATATATATATATATTTGGTTATAAATTTCAGAAATTATTTATTTTTGTCTATTTGTGCTTTTATAAAGTACTACCAAAAGAAAATACTACCAACTAGGTAGCTTATAAATGACAGAAATTTATTTCTCACAGTTCTGGAGGCTGATAAGTCCAAGATCAAGGCTCCAATAGAGTTGAATTCTGGTGAGGACCCTCTCACTGATGCATAGCTGGCATCTTCTTGCTGTGTCTTCACAGAGTGGAGGGAGCTAAGGAGTTCTATGGTAGTCCCTTTTATAAGAGCATTAATTTCATTCATAATGTCTCCATCCTCATGACCTAAGCACCAGCTACTACCATCCATTATATCTGGGGGTTCAATTTTAGTATAAGAATTTGAGGGGAATACAAATATTCATACCATGTTATTATTTATTTAGCTAATTTATTTAGCTAATAGAGTAATATTAGACTCTATTAATAAAGTCTGCAGGTTGAGAACAAAGATTGTTTTATTTCCCCATTGTATCCCTAGCACCTGGGGCAGCGCATGGGCCCATAGTGGCTATTTATAAATATTTGTTGAGTGAATGAATGAATGAAATCTTAATCATTACTGGTTTTTCCCCTTTATTTTAGGAACTTATAATCAAAACTGTATTAAGCTCAGCAAGAGATGAGCCTTCTGGTCCTGCACGGTAGGTCAGATGTTCTTTTTTTTTTTTTTTTAAGATTTTATTTGAGAGTGAGTGAGTGAGAGTGCTTGTGTGCACATGCACACAAGGTGGAGGGATAGAGGGAGAGGGAGAAGCAGGCTCCCCGCTGAGCAGGAAGCTGATGGCAGGGCTCAATCCCAGGACCCTGGGATCATGACCTGAGCCAAAGGCAGACGCTTAACCAACTGAGCTACACAGGCTCCTGGGTAGGTCAGATGTTTTAAGATTTGACATGACTATTATCTTTTTGGAATCTTATTATAGAAGTTGATTGAATTATTTGGCAGTCCCCATCGTTTCAGATGTACAAAAGCTGTTCTGAATTATAAATTTAAATTATTAAGATGATTAAATATTTTTTCATGATTTTATAAACCTTCCTTCATTAAAAAAATAAAATCCTATTTACCTTTTTAAGTATTTTTATTTCCTATATCTAAAATAATTTTGGGGGGAGGTGCCTGGGTGGCTCAGTCTGACTCTTGAGTTCAGCTCAGGTCATGATCTCAAGGTCATGGGATCAAGCCCCACATCAGCCCTGTGCTGGGCATGGAGCCTGCTTAAGATTGTTCCTCTTCATCTCCTTCTGCCCTTGCCCCCCACTGCTCACTCACATGCAGTCTCTTTCTCTCTTTAAACAAATAAAAATTTTAAAACTAATAAAATGATTTCTTTTAATTTTAAGTATATTTTGCTTTCCTTTCAAGTTATATTTGTCACTATCTGTTTTGCGGTACCTTGACATGTAGTCAATGAATTTTTGTTCAATTGAATTAAAAGAAAAGATTTCTTTTGTAGAAAAAAAATACTTGTAGGAGGATTTATAAATATTTTATCAGGATATTTTTTTAAAAGTACAATATAAATAATAAGATTTTAGAATGTTTTCCCTTCTAAAATGCCTTGTTAAGAAATGAAAACTGTCATTTTCTATTTAAAATTTTCCAGAAAGGCTGAGATTTAAATCAACAGGTTGCCAATAGCACACCATGTTCCTTTTTTTCCCGAAAATCTCATTAATTTATATTTTATATTTCTTGAAGCTAATTCTAATAATATGTCATTAGCCTCAACAGTAGTCTATGTTACTACTTTTTTGACCTACATGTCTGGAGAGCTTCCTTTTTTCCTAACACCTGCACATTTTTTGAATTCAGGTTTCATAAAAATACAGATTATAGCTTTGACCATTTGGATTCTAATTGTAATTTAAACCTTTTAACAGCAACTAGAATTAATGTAAAATGAGCAGTTTGCTTAAATGAAATAGCTCCAGCCTTTTAATTCACTTGGCATATTTTTCTCAGTAGCCAAGTTAACTAAAAACAAATCTCTTTGAGTAAATCCTTCTTTTACATTATTTTAATACTAGGCAGCTATTCCAGAAAACATTGTCTTTTCCATTATTCCCATATTTATATTTCTGGTAGCCTTAACTCCAAATTTGATGGTTTTCAATATTATTTCTTTAACATTTTCTGTGTTAATGATTAATAATGATAATCTTTTAAGTTCACAAGGATTTTCCTATCATTGTTCCCTTTAATCCTCATAACAATTCAGAAATTATTGGAATCATTTTTATTCTTCCAGCTTTGCTAGCAAAAAAACCGATGGCTTGGAAAACTAACATTTGTTATGTACCAGGCATTGTTCTGAACACTTTATTACCTCATTTAATCTTTGCAGCAGCTCTAGAATATAGGTATAATTTTTGTCTTCCTTTTTATAGATGGGAGCCCAGAGAATTTAAATAATCTGCCCTATCATCCAGAAATAGCAGAGCCATGATTAAAACCCTGGCAGTTTGTCTTCAGAGCCTTATTAGATGCATAAATAATAAGTGGCAGAACCAGATTTGAACCTAGAGCTTCAGAATCTAGATCTTCTGCCTTTTTAAAAAAAAAAAAAAAAAAAAAAAACACTATGTTGCCTCTGAAATGAAAGAACACTGAAGCCTAAAACATATAGCTGCCTGTAAGTAGACTTGGAAATCATTAACACAATAGCTTGCTTGAAAATGTAAGAAAATCCCAAAGTTGAACAGAAGCATTTTCTAAACTTGTTTTCCTTTCAGGAATGTAAGGTTTTAGAAGCTTATCCCCCAAAATTAGACCAGGAGGAGAGTTGAGCCATTCTAGGAATAATCTAGATTATTTTGCTATCTTGAGGAATGTAGGAAACACACACAAATTGATCTTACCCCTCTATTATAAAAACATGTTAATAAGCATTCTACTCCCAGTCTGTGGTGGTTAGTTACGTCCATGGAGAGCTTTGCTTCACTTCAGAGTTCATAATTACTTTAGGATTGTAGCTCTTTCCACTGCCAAACCTGAAACCTGGTTATTTAGATCTGTAATATTAATGGGTAGGTAACAGTAGGGAAGAAATAAAGTAGTAGAATTAGCCTAGAAGACCAGTAGTTTTGCTAGTAAATAATTTATTAGCATGAACACTGTGATAAACTGAAAGATGAGACTTACAAACTTCTGGTCCACTATGTTCAGGATGAAAGATACTTCTGCATTCAATTATTCTGGAATTTAACATTCTACAGAATTTAAGAATGTCGGTAAAACAAAACAAAACAAAACAAAAACAATGTCGGTATCGGGACATGCCAAAGTATACCAGGATATTACAAGGAGTTGACTTGTTTAGGAGTTGAGGGAAACCAGTATGTGCTTCATTAGAAGCTAATACTTGAACACACTGATGAAATTTTTAATGATTCTGGTCATCAAATAATACCTTTCAAGCAAAAACTCGGTTGAAACAAGGAAATGAAGTTTCATAAGACATTAGGGAATAGAAGAAATTCTACCAGTTCTATTTCTGTTGGAAATCGTTTATAAAGTATATGAATTTTATTTGTAATGCCAATTTGTTTTACAAAGAATTTGTAATCAGCTTTGTTAAATTTAAGAGTTATGAAAATAATATTTAGGGGCACCTGGGTGACTCAGTCACTCACTTAAGTGTCCAGCTATTGATTTTGGTCAGGTCATGATGGAGTCAGGCTCTGTGCTGTGCACGGAGCCTGCTTAAAATTTTCTCTGCTTCCCTCCCCGCCTCCCACCTTCTCTCAAAGGAAGAAAGATGGAGGGAGGAAGGTAGGAAGGAAGATGATATGACATCCCATCAGCTTCATGTTTTTGCTAAAGTTCATTTTGTGCTGTCAAAATCATTCTCTTTCCTTTTTGAAAGTTACAATTTTTGTTTGGGAAGCTTTATGGCAATATCAGTTTGTTAATATGGGTTTGTTACAAAGGTCCTGTGCGTTATCCCCACCTTAGTAGTAAATTATAACTGAAAATTAATCTTTGAGTTTGGGGTCATGTGCTTTCCTCCTTCTTTCACTTGCTTAAGAAGAAATAATGTGCAGAGTAAGAAATTGATTCACTTAAACAGTGCTTGTTCATTCTAGATTGGTTGTCGGTATTTTGGTTGTGGTGGTGGTTTCATTTTGTTTAAAGGCTCATCTATTTCTGTTTATATCATTGTTGGTTGCCTTTTTTGCAGATGTGTAGCACTGTGCAGTTTAGGTATTTGGATTTGTGAAGAACTGGTCCATGAGTCTCATCATCCTCAAATCAAGGAAGCTCTGAATGTAATTTGTGTCTCCTTAAAGGTAAAAAAATGTATTTAGTGGAATATATTATTAGTGGAATATATTAATAAAGAATGCAGGACTATTTTTCTCCAAATGTTAATTATATCTTGTGTCCTTACAGATTAAAACATTTAATAAATGGTTTTATTAATTTGTCATTACATTATTTCTTTGATGCTGACTTTTTCCTTCAGAGTTGTTCTACTCTTGAATTTAGGATATCTTAGTATCACTAAGATATAAGGTTATCAACCTATTTTATCTCAACTTTTGGTGTCATTTAACAACATATATAGGGTTGTTTTTTTTCCTAATCAGTATTTTGTAACCTACTTTTCATTCCTTAATACTTCCTGAATTCTTGAGCTATTCAGTATTTTGGCTTTATTATTCAAGTTAAGTGCTGTCTTTGTAACCAGAGTACAATTTGTTAAAAAATAATAACCTGATTTATTAGTCTGAATAAGTAAATTTTTTGCATGTGAAAGTATGCATATTAGTTTTGTTTTAAAACTTGTTTTAAAGTATCTATATAGAATTCTAAACATAAAAGGTACAAATATTGCTTACTTGACAAGTATTTCTGAATACGTACTATGTTTGAGGTGCTTTGTTAGTCACATTGAGGTATACCAGAATGAAAAATAATTGTAAATACTAGACTCAAGAGATTAATAATATGATGGCTAAAAAGGATTAAATTAAATAAGAGTAATAATAAAACAAAGTAAGAGAACCAAATGAGTGATGCATATAAAATGTTGATTGAGGTCAGAGGAAGCCGTGATTACTTTGATGTAGGTAATGGAGAAGACTTGGAAAGTGGAGACATTTGGTCAGGGCTTGAAGAGTTGGGGAGGTTTGGTCATAGAGAGCTAAGCGTAACAAGTTTGAGTTTATGCCATAACAAGTTTGAGTTTATGCCACTGGGGAGTCATCCAAGAGCTTTAAGCATAGACAACGTCAGCATCAGAGCAGTTCTTTAGAAGATTAATTTGAAAGTGTTGTTTGTAGCAGATTGGAATGGGGAAACGATTGATAAGGAAATGAGCAGTTTGCAGGCTGTTGCAGAAATCCAGGTAAGAGAAAATGGAATAAAACGTTAATTGAGGCAAACATTCAAAATTAAAAATAAACTTAAGGGATCCCTGGGTGGCGCAGCGGTTTGGCGCCTGCCTTTGGCCCAGGGCACGATCCTGGAGACCCGGGATCAAATCCCATGTCGGGCTCCCAGTGCATGGAGCCTGCTTCTCCCTCTGCCTATGTCTCTGCCTCTCTCTCTTTCTCTCTGACTATCATAAATAAATAAAAAAATTAAAAAAAAGAAGCATTTAAAAAATAAATAAATAAACTTAATTGGGATCCCTGGGTGGCGCAGCGGTTTAGCGCCTGCCTTTGGCCCAGGGCGAGATCCTGGAGACCCGGGATCGAATCCCACGTCGGGCTCCCGGTGCATAGAGCCTGCTTTTCCTCTGCCTGTGTCTCTGCCTCTCTCTCTCTCTCTCTCTCTGTGTGACTATCATAAGTAAATAAAATTTTAAAAAAAAACTTAATTGTGTTTTTGTAATGTGGTGTCAGTTTTTATTTTGCAGGTGTGTATTATTTTAATATTTTAATAAATATACAATGACAAAAATGTATAAAATTTAAAGGTTTTCAGCAGCTAATGCATTAATAAATATTTTTAATTGTTTTTACTGTTACAGTTTACTAATAAAACAGTAGCCCATGTGGCTTGTAACATGCTTCACATGCTGGTTCATTATGTACCTAGACTTCAGATTTATCAGCCTGATTCTCCCTTGAAGATTATTCAAGTGAGTATTTCTTATTTATTGTGGCCCTGTTAAAGATCTTTAGATTTGGATACCTTGAAATATAAAATTATTTAATGGTTTTCTTTAAATTTTGCATGGCTAAGTTATGGCAACCCGGGCAGCTTTTTCGAGATATCAAAGTTCATGATAATCTCCTTGTATTTTATGTTAGGAGACTGTGATCTTGGTTTTTTAAATGCTACCTGCAAATTTATAATTGCCATTGTCTTTATTAATATATATTCTTTATTCAACCTCTCTTAGGTGAGAAAATATACATCCCTCCAGTTACCAGAATCAGGGTATTATTTTGATTCATCCCCTTTACTTTTCAGTTAATCATAGATGGAGTTTGCGTTTTAATTTTTTTTTTTCATTTTAATTCTGTGTCTCCTATACAACACCTGACCTCCCTCATTATTTCTTTCTTGTGATACTGTGGTAGCTTTCTGGTTGGTCTCTTGGCTTCTGAGGTCTTCTCCTTCAAATCATCCTTCACATTCATATGACTTATATCAAAACCCAACAGTATTGCTGAGTGGTTTTCCTTTGCTTATAAAATAAGACTCATGTTGTTTATCTGGGAATTTGAAGCCTCCGGATGAGGACTGAGCCCATCTTTTCAAAATCATGTAGAGATTCCTTTGAAATATCCTGTTGTCCAGGTACCTGAGTCAGTTTACTATCTTCTGAACATACCTTCACTCGACCTCATAGAGTTGCTTTGAAGACTAAATGAGAAAATATAGAGTGCTTAGAACTTTTTGCCATAAAAATTACAGGACATAAATTTTAATAAATGTTGGCTGTAGCTATTATAATTATTATGTAGGATGTAAGTGTGAATATACAGATTATGTATGTATTAAAACTTTTGAAAATTTCTGAAATTTTAAATTTAAAAATTTTGAAAATTTTACCCTTTAAGATTGGATTGTTTGAAAATTAAGATCATTCTTTAAGCAGATTTTTTTTTTCATTTGGGAAAGCCTGAAAATCCTTTCCCTTATTTTCTTTATCAGTTTTTATATTAATACTCATCTAATTACTTCTTAAGTGTGCAGATTTTTGTAGATTACTTCATTATACTGTATAGTGGTCAGTAGCTACAGATGAAGAGTTATTATATTATTCAACTTCTAGTTGAATGAAGAAATGAAATTCCAAAATTGTAGAGCATTTCACTAATGGTTTACCTATTTGCATAGTTAGGAAAGGAAGCCCAGTTCTATGACCAATATTAAGCAGATGCATCTAATATACTAAATTCTTTTTTTTTTTTTTTAAGATTTTATTTATTCATTCATGAGAGACACACAGAGAGGCAGAGACACAGGCAGAGGGAGAAGCAGGCCCTATGCAGGGAGCCTGATGCAGGACTCGATCCCGGAACCCCATGATCACTCCCTAAGCCAAAGGCAGATGTTCAACCGCCGAGCCACCCGGGCATCCCTAATATACTAGATTCTGTTAGTGAATAAAGCCTTTTAATATGTAAAGTATATTCAGAGGAATTTTTCTACTTGATGCAATAACTTACAGAAATATAATAGCATACAATAAAAATATAATAAATTTACCTATGTATTTTTAGCATGCACATAAAAAATTTAATGAGATCAGGAAATTTCCAGAGTAACACTGTGTGCCTTTTTTGCCATCTTTTAATAATTTTTTATTATCTCATATTTTTGTATCAAATTTATTCATGTACTATTCAATGTATAACATAAGTTAATTTTAAAAACCACATAATAAAAATTAAAAAAAACATATTTACCCACAAATACGTACACACATACATGTCTGGAAAGATGAGAGTAGATTTCTTTTTCTTTCTCTTTTCTTTTTTTTTTTTTAAGTAAACTCTCTGCCCAATACCAGGCTTGAACTCACAACCTCAAGGTCAAGAGTCACATGCTGTACCAACTGAGCCAGCCAGGCACCCTGAGAGTCAATTTCCTTATTTCCTCCCCCAACTTAAATGAGAAATAGTTGACAAACATGATTGTTTATATTTAAAGTATACAACGTGATGATTTGATAATTGTGGAATGATTACCAAGGTCTAGATAATTAACACATCCATTACCTCACATAATTAACTGTTGTTTGTCTTTTTTTATTGTGAGAATGGTCTACTCTTAGCAACTTCCAGATATTCAGCATATGATTAACTATAGTCACCATGCTGTACATTAGATCTTACTATTTTTATAACTGAAAATTTATAGCTTTTGACCTGCATCTCCCTGTTTCCCTCCTTTCTTCTGAGCCCCTGGTCACCATTATTCTATTCTCTTTCTATGAAATCAGGTTCTTTAAGATTCCACATATAAGTGATACCATACAATATTTGCCTGTCTGCTTATTTCACTTATAGTAATGCCCTCCAGGTTGTCATAAATGGCAGGTTTTCCTTTCTTACGGCTGAATAATAATATTCCATTGTGTGTGTGTGTGTGTATACACACACACATACATATTTTTTGTATTCATTTATCCAAAGATTTATATTGTTTCCATATCTTTGCTATTGTGAATAATGTGGCAGTGAACATGAGTGTACAAGTATCTCTTTGAGATACTGATTTCATTTCCTTCAGAACTGGGTTGCTGAATCATATGATAGTTCTTTTTGGGGGAGCTGTGGGGGAAGGGGGGAATAGAGTGGGTGGGAATCATATGGTAGTTCTATTTTTAATATTTTGAGGAACCTCCATATTGTTTTCTGTGAAGGCGGTACCAGTTCACGTTCCCACCAACATTGTGTCAGTTTTCTTTTCCCTACCCCCTTGCCAACATCTGTTATCTCTTGTCTTTTTGAAAATAGCCATTCTAACAGATGGAAGGTGATATCTCATCATGGTTTTGATTTGCATTTTCCTCATAATTAGTGATATGGAACACCTTTTCATATATCAACAATTTAAATGTCTTCTTTGGAAAAATGTTTATTCAAGTTCTTTGCCCATTTTTAAATTGGATTATTTGCTTTTTTGCTATTGAGTTGTAGGAGTTCTTCATTTATTTTATGTATTTTTTTTAAACGCTTTGATTCAATCTTCATCATTTTTTTTAATTTTTATTTTAATTTATGATAGTCACAGAGACAGAGAGGCAGAGACACAGGCAGAGGGAGAAGCAGGCTCCATGCATCGGGAGCCCGACATGGGATTCGATCCCGGGTCTCCAGGATCGCGCCCTGTGCCAAAGGCAGGCGCCAAACCACTGCGCCACCCAGGGATCCCCTATTTTATGTATTAACCCCTAATGCAGATATATGGTTTGTAAATATTTTCTCCCATTCCATTAGCTGCCTTTTCAAGTCCTTTTTTTTTTTTTTTTTTTTTTGCTTTTCCTTTGCTTCCTTTGCTGTGCAGGTGCTCTTGATATGGTCCTACTTATTTATTTTAGCTTTTCGTGTCTTATCCAAAAAATCAATGCCGAGAGCAATATCAAGAGTGTTTTCCCTCTGTTTTTTTTTTTTTTTTTTAGGAGTTGTATGGCTTCAGGTCTTAAATTTAAGTCTTTGTTCCATTTCAAGTTAATTTTTGTCAGTGGTATAAAATAGGGGTCCAGTTTCATTCTTTTGCATTGGATATCCAGTTTTCCTACCACTTATTGAAGATACTGTACTTAATCTTTCTTAATTTCTTTTTCTTACATTTCATTGTTAGTGTATAGAAATGCAATTGATTTTTAACCCTGAAACCTTACTGAATTCACTAGTTCTGACACTTTTTTGGTGAAATGTGTAGGGTTTCCTAAGTATAAGATGATGTCACCTGCAGACAAATAATCTTACTAATTCCTTTCAGATTTGGATGCCTTTTCATTCTTTTTCTTCCCTAATTGCTATGATAGGACTAAAGCACTATGCTGAATAGAAATGGCAATTGTGATCCTTGACTTGCTCCTGACCTTAGAAGAAAAGCTTTTAACTTTTCACCATTGAGAATGATGTTAGCTGTTGGTTTGTCATATATGGCCTTTATTATGTTGAAGTACATTCCTTCTATAACTAATTTGTTGAGCAGAGTAGATTTCTTGAGTGATAGAATTGCAGATGATTTTTATAAATCTTTTGCTTATCTATATCCTCTCATTTTTCTGTGAACACATATTATATATGTTTATGTATATTGATTCCTGAATTGAATTTGTAAGAAATCTATAGTTGATAGAGTTTATAGGATTTTGGTTCCATACACATGAGGATTATAAATGATTGAAAAGCTTACATATTAAAAGTTACTTTGCAAAAAAAATAAATAAAAAGTCTTTGCAATAACATTGATAATGTCTTTAGAATTAGAAAATGTATTTAGGATAAACTTCCATCAAATAGATTTTATGTCACTTTACCATTAACATTTAATGGATGCATCATTAATATATTTTGAACTTTTTTTTCTTTGCTGACAGATTCTAATAGCCACCATCACCCATCTTTTGCCAAGTACAGAAGCTTCATCTTATGAAATGGATAAGAGGGTAATTAAAATTTTGTTTGATATTTAATATATGTTTAGTAAGGTATTTATATTTTAAGTTTGCAAAGCTAGATATTTACATGGCAAACATTAATTCATCTTGTCCTTAAAATTCACTTTACATTATTTAAGTGTAACCAAATTATATTTTAGTTCAGATTTCAAGTTAGTCATGGTCATTTGATAAAGTCTTTGAATCTCTTAGATGTGAGGAACCTTGGAGGATATTTTATTCGTTTATAATTATTTCACTTTATCTTGCCAAATTATGGTCTTGTTTATGCCTGAAAATAAGTAATTCTGAGAAATTCATCAACTCGGAAGGCAACCATACATCTTTATATAGCTGTTACTGGTAGAAAATAACGAAATTTCCATTAAGGAGAGTATGTATAATAGAGATGGCATGTAGAGGAAAATCTACCCTCTGACCACAAAAAGTTCTACAGGATTGCAATCACCTTAGTAAATTCATTCTGAGATTCCTTTAATTATTTCAGGTACTGTATTTGTAAGTCTAAAGTTTCTATTTGGTTTCTTTTCATAGTTTTCCATATCTTTCCTGAAATCTGCATTTCTATATCAATTATATCTACTCTATTAGATTTTTAACAGTTTATCATAGTTATTTTAAATTCCTTGTCGGCTAAATTCAATATTGGTGTTATTGCTAGGTCTGTTTCTACTGAAATCTTTTCATCTTGATTGTGGATTCCATTTTTCTGTTCATATGTTTGTTAGTTTCTTAAAATATATTAGGCATAGTACATAACATGTTATAGAGATTCTAGTAGATCTGTGCTGCCCGGGATACTAACTACTACCCACATGTGACTTTAAATTTAAATAAAATAAAATTAAAAGTTTATATTAAAATTTTAATTCCTTATTTGTGCTAACCATATTTCAAGTGCTCAGTAGCCACATGGACAAATATATACCATTTCCATCATTGCACAAACCTCTATTAATCAAGGCTGCTCTAGATTCTGTTCCTCTGAAAATTATTCTGTTCCTTTCCATTTTCACATCCTAATCTTGCATTTTATTCTCCGGATCTCAGTGTCATCATCTCTTAATCATACAGTGTTGAAATCTCAAAAGAGCAAAGTTGTTGGAGAAAGATGAATTTCAGTTTTCATTGTCTTTTATGTGAGGAATAATGCCAGCAAAACCATGAGCAAAGCAACTCTGTATTCCTAAAGTAGTAAGTTTGAAGCTTGAAACAAAATTACTGGTATCATCAACACATGAGTAGTATTAAACTCTGGGAATATATGTAATCACTTGAGAAGTTATAGAGTAAGAAGAATTATTAACAAAATAGAACACTTTGAAGAAAAACAGAGCAGGGGGTCACCAAAATGGAGACATAGCAGGTTCCTGAATTTTCTTCCTCCCGTGGATGTGCCAAAGATACAGCTACACATGGAGCAGTTCTCTCAGAGAGAAATCCAGCAACTAGTTGAATAATCCTATGCATCAGGAAATACCCACATCAATACATAGGAAACATTGAGGCATACTCTTGAGATAAACCCATTGACACAATCAGGAGAGAACTCCCAACTGCCAGGGTCTTTCGGAGGCTGCTAGCACCCCAGCTTTTAAGCTTTTTAAGCCTATCCCCAGGGATAGGCTTGTAAATCACCTGGCTCTGAAAGCCAACGGGGCTTGTATTCACAAGGCCCACAGAACTATAGGAAACAAAGGAGCACTTGTTAACAGGAGTGTGAGCACCTGCCATTGCTATTCCCCCAGTGTTCACAGAGGGGACAGGCATTCTTTCTCTATGAAAGAGTTGACTGCATACTTTCCCAGCTGCTGCCTGAGAGTCCAGCTTCTAATCAGCCTTCATCCAGGTGCTGACTGGAGTCCTTCTGGAAGCTCTTAAGATCCAGTGGGCACTTCCCCTTGTATTCTCCCTCTGACTGGCTCCAGCAATAAAATCAGGTCTCTACCTTTCCCCTAGAAAGAGCTTGTCAACACTAAGTGAGTGGCTCCCAAATGACCTACTTCTGGGAGTGGTCAGAACTTCGCATTCATGTATTCTCTGGAAACACACAAAACGGGTGGTTCTGTTTGCACCAGCACTCCCAGCGACTGTTTCCTCTGGCTTAGCACAGAATGAGTAAGCAAAAATAGCCAGCTCTCAATTTCTCTGTTAGGGGCTAGACTGCATATAGCTAATGTCCCAATTTTTCCAGTTGCTCCTGAAAGTCAGACTACCGATTAGCCTGAATCAGGAAGCTGAAGGAGTAGGCAATTAGTAGTCCTTCAGGAGCCTGATTAGGTATATGGCATTTCCCACTTTTAGGACACAGTTTGGATAGTCACAGAAGTTTGATGAGCAGCTAAGAGCTTGAGCCAGGCTGCTAGTTTACCTTTTCCAATTAATAAGTATCTTTTAGGAAGATACTTTGAGATTATATAAATAACCTGTTATTCCTTAAACCTTTTATTAAGTAGTTTTGCCAGCCATTTATAACTCTTATCAGAATTAGATGTTAGGATAGTTTCCTAATTCTGTCATTACTTTTACATTAATGTCATTAGTTAGTTTTCTATGATAAGAAAGAGCTTTCTCTTATTCTCTATCCATTTTACCAGTGTGGGATCATAATTCTTATTTTATGCAATGGATTGTAATCCTTAGTTTTTTACTATCATTATTTATTTCAGAGCTCAAAATGTCCCAGACTTAGCCAGTGGGAATGCCCTTTAAAATGGCTTCTTTATCCTTTTGTCATATCCTTCTCATTATTCTTTCAGCATATCCTTAATTTCTGTCACCACAGAATTTTTCAGACTCATTTTGTATTTTTCCTGCCTCAGTACTGAAATTAGCCACTTCCCCAAGGAACTCTGGTTCTGTTGAGTGGGAATAGTGTTCTCAAATAAAGATCTGGGAGCTAAGTGTTTACATTGTCATTGGGTTGTGTGTGTGTGGTTTTTTCCCTTAGGCCCTCTCACTAGATAAAGCTAAAAAGATAATATGTACACACATGTAAATAAATAGTATGTGTTTACGTATATATGTATACATAAGTATATGTATTTCTTTGTGTGTATTAAAATACCATGAGTTTACCTTGACACCTCTGATTCTAATCCAACACAAGGGTCAGTCTGTCCTCTCCCTTTACATATTTGTAACCACCTGCCCCAATAATGAGAACCTAACTCCTTTACCCACATTTATTCACAGTATATTTACTTCTTTGTGCAGTTTTAGAAGAATAAAAGGAGTTTCAGAATATACTTATGCCTGTATATAGTTACCAAAAGAGTATATAGTTCAAAAGCTGTGTTTAAAAGTTACTTGAGTTACTTCTCCCTCCCCTTAGTCTCACTTTAGTATGATTATAGAATTCATTTGAATATAGTTCAGGTTATTTTTTCAGTTTGTATTCTATTTTAGTGTTTTCTCCCCATCTCTGTTGGTTTTGTTTTTTAGTTTGTTTTATCCATTCTTTCTGCACAATGAACAGATACTTTTTCCCCTCCTTGTTTGTTAAGAGATACATATTCTAGATATTCTTTGGTATTTAGATTTTTTTACTTGCAGGGTATCCTGGAAATTCACAATACATCAATTCATGAAGATGTTCTGTGTTCTTTTTTACAGCTGTATAGTATCATTACTACAGTGTGTGAATGTACTGTCATTTATTCAACTCACTCTCCTATGTATGGATGTACAGGGTTTTTGTTTTTTGTTTTTTTTTCTTTTTCCAGTATTTTGCAATTGTAAAGAATGCTGCAGTGATTGTAGCAATTCAGTCACACCTGCACATTCCACTTCTAATTCTAGTTCTCTTGCTATTTCTGTCAATTTTGCTGTTACTTCCTTAATTGAAATCTTCCAGCTCCTCAAAGTCATCCATGAGGTTTGGAATCACGTCTTCTAAACTCCTGTTAATGTTGACATTTTCACCTTTCCCATGAATCATGAATGTTCTTTATGACATCTAGAGTGGTGAATCCTTTCCAGAAGCTTTTCAGTTCACTTTACCCAGATTCTAAAGATAAATCACTATCTATGGGAGCTGTAGCTTTATGAACTGTATTTAAAGACGACTTGAAATAAAAACTTCTCCTTAATCCTAATGAGCTACAGAATGGATGTGTTAGCAGGCATAAAAACAACATTAATCTCATTGTGCATCTCCATCAGAGCTCTTGGACTTAAAATATTCAGTAAACTATGTTGTAAATAGATGTGGTATCATCCAGGCTTTGTTGTTCCATGTGTGGAACACAGGCAGAAGAGATTTAGCATAATTCTTAAGGGCCCTAGGATTTTTGGAATAGTAAATAAATGCTGGTTTCAACTCAAAGTTACTAGCTGCCTTAGCCCCCACCAAAAGAAGCAGCTTTAAGCCAGGCATTGACTTCTCTCTAGCTACAAAAATCCTAGGTGGCATCTTTTACAAATACAAAGCTGTTTTGTCTACAGTGAAAATCTGTTGTTTAGTGTAGCTAACCCTTTGGATAACTCGCCACACCCTCTGTATCAGCATCTGCTGCTTCATCTTCTACTTTCATGTTACACAGATGGTTCCTTTCCTTAAACCACACAAATCAATTTCTTCTAACTTCAAACTGCTCTTTTGTAGTTTCCTTACCTCTCTCAACCTTCACAGAATTTAAGAGAGTTAGGGCCTTGCTCTGGTCTAGACTTTGACTTAAGCAGCTGGTTTGATCTTCCATCCAGACCATAAAACTTTCTCTATATCAGGTCTGCAGCTGTTTTGCTTTCTTAACATTCATATGTTTCCTGGAGTAGTACTTTTACTTCCTTCAAAACTTTTCTTTTGTATTCACAACTTGGCCATTTGGCAAAGAAACCTAGTTTTCAGGCTGTTTGGCTGAAAACTGTTTGGTTTTTAGTTTTCAGCCTGTTTGGACTTTCGACATACCTTTCTCATTAAATTTCTAGCTTTTTATTAAAGTGAGAGGGCAGCCCCAGTGGCTTAGCAGTTTAGCACTGCCTTCAGCCTGGGGTGTGATTCTGGAGACCTGGGATCGAGTCCCACGTCGGGCTCCCTGCATGGAGCCTGCTTCTCCCTCTGCCGTGTGTCTCTGCCCCCCGCCCTGTGTCTCGAATGAATGAATGAATGAATGAATGAATGAATGAATAAAGTAAGTGAGAGTCAGTGACTCTTCCTTTCACTTGAACACTTAGAGGCCATTGTAGGATTATTAATTGGCCTAATTTCAGTAATGTGGTGTCTCAGGGAATGAAGAGGCATGAGGAGAGGAAAGACAGATGGGGGAATAGCTGGTTAGTGGAGCAGTCAAAACACATATGTTTACTGATTAAGTTTGCTGTCTTATATATAGACATTGTTTGTGGTACCCCCAAACAATTGCAGTAATAACATCAAAGATCACAGAACACCATAACATATAATAATAATGAAAAAGTTAGAAATATTGTGAGAATTACCAAAATGTGGCATAGAGACAGAAAGTGAACAAATGCTGTCAGAAAATGGTGCTCCATAGACTTTCTCAACACTGGATTGCTACAAACCTTCAATTTATCAGAAACACAGTACCTGTAAAGCAAAGCACAACAAAATGATATAGAATCTTTAGATTCACATTTACTTTCCTTAAACTATTTTCTTTTTAATGTTACCTTGCTTTGTGTATTATTTTTGGGAAGTCTGATGTCAGTTTTATTCTTTTGCCCTTATAAATTATTTCATCTTTTTTCCAGGAGGCCCTAAGGATATTTTTCTTTATATTTGAAGTATTACTTTTAAAGCTTTATCAGAATATGTGTTAGAGTTGATTATTGCAGGTCAGTTTGTCCTGGCTTCTGGTGAATCTTTTTATTTTTTATTTTTTTAAGATTTTATTTATTTATTTGACAGAGGGAGGGAGAACAAGTGGGAAGAGCAGCAGGCAGAGGGAGAGGGAGACGCAGGCTCCCTGCTGATCAGGGACTTGATCCCAGGACCCTGAGATCATGACTTGAGCTGAAGGCATATCTTAACCAACTAAGCCACCCAGGTGCCCCCTGTGAACCTTTTTTAATGTGTATATTTCAGAGATTCCAATTCTATATAAATTGTATATTCTTTTTCTGTCTTCTATTTCAGCCATATTCTCCCTGACACTTTTTATCGTTTTAAAATTTCATTTTTAAATTGTTATCCACTGTTCTTCAATACCTGTATTATATTTTGTGGTTTTTTTTTTCAAATATATTCTTCATTAGGCATTTATATTTAGGCTTCATTTCTAAATTTTGTCCTTTTGCTTCTTGTACTGACTTGATATAATTCTTCATTTCTTGGTCTAGTGTTAGTTTTTAATTTCTGATTTAAGATGGATTTTCTTTGTCCCTATATCTAAATGCTGTTTGATAATATCTAATTTAGGTTAGAATATTGTGTTATAGTGTTCTTCTGCTTCATAATTGAGTTTTTTGGGTGGGGGTTTCATCAGCCGAATTGCTTAGATTCTCGTTTTTTTTTTTTTGTTTTCTTTTCATAATAGTTTTTTTTCTATGGACGAAGTTGGTGAGGGTGAGGGTGGTTTACAAGATTCCTACTTCAAGAGCTCCCCCTTCTGGTGTTTCAACAAAGTATAGTGTCTTTATTGTCTTTTTAAGGAGAGGAATTGTAAGACCATAAATTTATTGAATGATGCTTTTTAAGGAAGAGAGAGATTGCAGGTCCATCAGTTTTTAAAATTTAAGTCTTGCAGGATCCTAAATTTTTCTTTTTACTACATGTTTTCCAGAGGTCATCTCCTCATATCTTCTTAACATTCTTTTTCCCCAAAGCATTACCTTCCCTATGTGTACGTTTAAGTCCTTTTTTCCTACTCAGTATCTGTCTTCCAGTACATTTTTTTCAGTATTCTCACACTTAGGATGACTTTTTCTTTCTTGCTTGGTTTTTAGGTTTGTACCTTGTACTTTTCTTTTACAATTTTTCTCAAACTGCCCTTGCTCTTCATGAAAGTTTATAATAGGAGAATGGGGAAAAGCTTGCTGGGATTTGCTGCATACTTTATACTTACAGATAATTTAAAGTAGATGTTCTGTTTTCTGTGTTTATACTGAGGATGTTGGTTTTGTGATGATGTTCTTTTTGTTCCTTAAAAGGAATGTAGAAGGTGACTGTAATATATATGAACTTAATCTTGCATTTGTGTTCCATTCCTTAAAGAGTTTTAAATAGTTGACTGATGTCTGTTCTCATTTAAGCTCAGTATTTTTATAGTAATTTAAAGTAATTCTGGCAGTCCTATTTTTATTATGTTTAAAGTTTCATTGTGTTGGCTCTAAAATATAAAGAAGAAACCCACAATAATACTCATATATAATATTTTAGAGTCACCTAGATCTAAGTAAATATTCATGGTAGAATTAGGGTTGATAGTTCCTGAAATAAATTTTGCAAGAAAAAAATAAGTTGGTGAATTTCTGTTAAAAGTATTAAGGATGCCTGAGTGGCTCAGGGGTTGAACATCTGCCTTTGGCGCAGGGCGGGATCCTGGGGTCTAAGATGGAGTTCCGCATCAGGCTTCCTGCCTGGAGCCTGCTTCTTCCTCTCTCTGTGTCTCTGCCTCTCTCTCTCTCTCTCTGTGTCTCTCATAAATAAATACATTAAATCCTTTTTAAAAAGGTATTAAGGTCTTATTTTATGAGTTTACAATAATAATCTTTTTTGTTGTTGTTTCAGTTGGTAGTATCCTTACTTCTGTGCCTTCTGGACTGGATCATGGCCTTACCTTTAAAGACACTGCTCCAACCAGTCCATGCTACAGGAGCAGAAAATGATAAAATAGAAAAATCTGTCCTCAATTGCATTTATAAGGTAAATTTGTTTGCTTTATTTATTATTATTTTTTTAATTTGTTTGCTTTAACCAACACTTTTTAAAACTGAAAAAAATATCATTTCTTAGTATTACATTTTTAGTTTTTTAGAGCCAGGTATTTTTTAAGAACGTAGATTTATCTTACAGTGTCTAAGGCTAATTAAAATTTCCTCCTACAAGGTACAGTTGTTTCACTGCAGATTTTTGAAAGGAGCCAAATCTTTGTTGAATGCGAGAATGATTAGTTAAATTTTATTCATTCTTCTTTTTAAGAAGTATTAAGTTTTACCTTGATTGAAGAACTAAGTTTTAAAATACTTAAAAATTTTGTCAAGCTCTTATATTCCAGTTGGCATTTTTCTCTATTTGTTTATATTCACTGAAAAGGAAAACTATATTTTTCCCTCATACTTTCAGGTATTACATGGGTGTGTTTATGGAGCTCAGTGTTTTAGCAATCCAAGGTATTTTCCAATGAGCCTCTCCGATTTGGCATCTGTAGATTATGATCCTTTTATGCATTTGGAAAGTCTGAAAGAGCCTGAACCTCTGCACTCTCCAGATTCAGAACGATCCTCTAAACTTCAGCCAGTGACAGAAGGTAAAAAAAATTCCTAAAGGACCATATTATTTCTTGGGTTCTCTGAAAATATGATTTGAGGGTGTAGGTAGAAATAATGGAGATGAATATGTCTTACCTTGTAGCTCTTTACCTCACCATGTGTATTATAGCAAAGTTCATTTTTAGTTTTGGAAATAACTTCAGAAACACAGTTACTAAGATTACATGTGATGACATTCCCTTTATACTTCTAGTTAAGTTATTCTGATAAGTTCTTTTTGGTATTTTATTTTATACATCATAGAATTTATATAATAGAATAACAGATTTAGCTTTGGAGCCTAACAGATAGGGTACTATTATTTACTAGCTGAGTGGCTCTTTCAGTTTCCTTATTTGTAAAATGGGGATAATAATATCCATTCCCTTATGGTTGTTTTGAGTACTCAATAAGATAATATGTGTAAAACCCTTTGCACATTTCTTGGTAGGCAGTGAAATCAGTAACATTTTTTAAAGCCACATGTGTCTACATTCATAAAGTTTACTTTCTGATATAAGGAAAAGATGTAAATAAATAACCTCTAAATATGAGTATAAAAGTAAATGTACATTTAAGATAGAAGTAGCCTAGAGGAACCCAGCAATCATTGAAGGGTTTTAAGGAGGTTATATACATGATAAAATTAGTAGTAAGAGCGGTTTGGCAACAGTATTTTCTAGGAGTCAGAGGATTATGGCCCATGGCCACCCCTTGTTTCTGTAAGTAACGTTCTTTTTGCATCCATGCTGTTCATTTACATATCATGATGGCTGCTTTTGTGCAATATCAGCAGTGTTTGTTGTACAGTTGCAAAGGAGATTATGTGGTCCATAAAACTGAAAATTTTTACTATCTGGCTCCTTTTATGCATTCTGTAGAAAGAGTTTGCTGATCTCTGTTATGTTAGATTGGTTTTAGGGAAGTTAACTCGGGAACAGAGAGACTAATCATGAGGCTGTTGCAAGGTCTTTGTTAGGAATATATATTTATGTGTTTGTGGACATACATACACACACCTGTGTGTGTGTTCTGAGAAAAGTTGGAAAGGAAGGAAAACTGGAAGAGTAATTTCTCTGAAATAAGACAGGAAAAAGATAATTTAAAAGATGGGGTAATGATTTTAAATGATAGGTCCAATACAGAAAGACTGAAAAATATGTCTACTTTAATTTCAGCAAAGATGTAGGAGGGAGAAGTGGATGGCTGTGGGTTTTAGAGTACGGAAGAGTTAAAGAGCCATTTGTCAAAAGTACTCTTTAAAGAAGTTTGTTTTAAAAAAGAGAGAAAAAGCAGTAAGACAGTGGTGAGCTAGTGGATGATTCAGGGGTAAGGGAGTTCTAAGGATGAATAAAGTTGAACAAAATTATAAGTTGAGAAGGAAGATGGGAAGGGGATCATTTAGTAGGGTGAGGTTCCTGAACAGTAGCTAGAAAGTATTGGTGCTGATATTAGCCCTTATTCTGACCCAGAAAGAAGCAAATGGAAGTAAATTAAGGGGATTGGCAGAAGTCACTGAGAGTCCAACGGAAAATGGAAACAACAAAGTTTTGGTTGCACCAGTCAGCATTAAGTAAGGTGGATGTGGCAGAAAAACATGGGAGCTATGGCTTTCAGAATATTGGTATATGGTTTAGCCATGGAATCTGGGCTTGGTGAGGATTGAACTGATCCTTGGGAATGGCTAATAAGTTAGAAGAAAATGGAGTGATCCAGTGAATCAGAAAGTAGATGTTGGCAATAAGAAGCTAAAGCAGTGATTCTCAGCTTTGGTTGCACATTAAATTACTGCTGTGCTACTCCCATCCATAGAGATTTTGATTTCTTCATTTGGGAGAGCTAGGATTTTTTAAAGCTTTATAGGTGATTAATATGCAGCCGAGGTTGACAGTCATGGAGAGTGTCACTATGTTAAGACGATGGGTTTTTATTTATTCATTCATTCATTCATTCATTTATTTAAATTCAATTTGCCCACATATAGTATAACACCCAGTGTATCCCATCAAGTGCCCTCCTCAGTGCCTGTCACCCAGTCACCCCATCCCCTCCACCTTCCTCCCCTTCCGCAACCCTTTAAGACAATGGCTTTTAAAATGAGTTTTTAAGCAGTAGAATCCCTTCAAATAAATTTCACAAGTAAACCCAATTTATAAAACTTTCAAAAGTAGAGCTGCAACAGAGTAGAGGCCTGGGATCCTACTGACTTCTGTCCATCTCCAAGAGCATTCTCCAAAGGCTCTACGAAACAAGAGTGGGGAAAATCACTAGACTAGGAGATTATGGTCAAAGAGTAAGCTGTTAAGGAAGAGTTTGATTTTTTTTTTCTAAGATTTTATTTATTTAATCATGAGAGTCGCACAGGGAGAGGCAGAGACAGAGGGAAAAGTAGGCTTCTCGCAGGGAGCCTGATGTGGGACTTAATCCCTGGACCTGGGATCACACCCTGAGCCCAAGGCAGATTCTCAGCCGCTGAGCTACCCAGGCATCCCAGGAAGAGTTTGATTTTTAAAGGTGGAATAGTTATAAATGATTAAGACATCTAAGATGTGGCCATGATAATAGATTGGTGATGTAGACTGCAAGTGAAATAGGAAGTTACACGTCAAAGAAATAGGCCTAGGGTTTGGGGTTGACCACAAGTTACTAATAGTTTGTCTGAAACACAAATACAGTTGACCCTTGACCAACACAGGTTTGAACTGTGCAGGTCCACTTATACATGGGTTTCTTTAAATTTTTTACTATAAATATATTTTCTCTTCCTTAGCATTTTCTTTTCTCTAGTTTATTTCATTGTAAGAATACAGTATATAATACATATAACATTTAAAATATGTGTTAATCAACTGCTATGTCATTGGTAAGACTTCCTGTCAACAGTAGGCTATTGGTAGTCAAGTTTTTGGGAAGTCAGAAGTTAAACATGGATTTTCAACTGCAAGGGGGTCAGCACCCTTAGCCCCCATATTGTTCAAGCGTCATCTATATACCAGTGAAATAGAAATGTAAGATTAAAATTAAAACTCACATACAGTAGAGATATACTGGGAAGTATGGTATAGCAAAATAATTTAGACCATAATTGATATATAGGCATTTTATATATTATTTCTTTAGATTTGGTATAGTAAACCAGAGTGTTTATTTTACTTTAAAAACAAAGTTATGTGAAAAGATTAGTTGCTTTTTGCACTTTTAAAAGGGTAAAAAAATGATAAAGTTTGATTCAGGGCATTATAACACACTTCATAAACAGTGAAATAAGTAGTTTACTTATGTAAAGAGAGGTTTTAATGTATTTCAGATAAAATTTACTATACTATTAACAGTCACTGTAGAAGATACAGAAGTAAAGATTTAAATAGATGAGTTTTATATTGATATCAAATGCTCTGTGGAGTATTCTCTAAATGTATTAAGTTGTTCCCTTTGGACTTTCTTAAAAATATAAAAGACCAGCGAAATGCAGAACCTTTTAGGAACAGCTGTAAGCCAACAGCAGGTGATTCTGTGGTCTGTAGTGACTACATGCTGTGTTGTTGTGTTTTTTTTTTTTAATGTGGCAAAGTGACTAATCACTGTGCCCTTGTCTAAGGCATGCTTCATCATCTTCAAGTACTTTTTTGGCCCAAGATTTCTAAACATAGAGTGTCCCTAATAAGCTCAGTATTGGATTGAACAAGTCTGATTTGAGAACTATTGGCAGGAGTAGCCGTAATTATTAAATTTACTAAATAATAAAGCAAGGTAGTGAAGTTGGCTTTTTGTCAAATGGCAGTAGTCTTATTAGCAAAAAGTCATCATTTGCAGGGTCAGAGTGAAAGGAGGCTCTAAAGGACTCATTCTCTCCTAATTATAGTTTCACCTATACATATTATGCAAAGCTAATATTTAAAGCATTTGTCAAAATTAACTTCCTCTGCATGTTCTATTACAGTGCAATGAATTGCAGCAGCTTTTTATGTCTTGCTGCTTTTGTATGCTGTAATAATCTGTAATTATGGGTTTGCTGCAAATGCTGTAGGGTTTGTTTAATCTGACAATCTGAAAAGACAACCTTGAATAGACTTATTTAAATGAATGCTAGTTACACAAAGCCTAGAAGCATCGATATCTTCATGTTGCATTTTCTTACAAGATTAGTTATTTAGAGTTTCATTTTGAATATCTAAATTAGAGAATTTCCTGTGTTTTCTTTATATCTAAATAGATATGTAGAAGAGAGATATATATATTCTATAGCTTATAACTCAAAAAATCTAAATCAAATTGCCCAATTAACAAGTTGAGAGATTTTTATCCTCTCATATTTATAAATATCTTAAATCTAGAGAAGCAACTTAGGGAAGAAAATTATATTACCTGCATTTAAAATCTAAATATATTCTTTAAGTGTACTCGTTAAGAATTATGACAGATTTGTGAACAAGCTTATTTGAACTGCATTCTCACTATCTCTTCCTTTGAGAAGAGGATATATAGGATGGGCAGGGTACCTGGGTTTAAAGGTTTGTTTTAGGGAAAGAGCTCGGTTCATTCTTGCAGGTTATTTATAAATAAGTTTGAAAAAGGAATTCATAAAACCTGTTACTTATAATACTCTCAAAATCGAATGGTTTGTATTGCTTCTTTCATATCCAACTCTGTATATGAGTTTTCAATTCATCTTTATAAAAAACCTGTATTATTCTTAGAAAAAAATGGAGTTTTAAGGTGTTTTATGTTATTTGTCCATGATCATAGCTCAGGTCAGAGATGAAGTTAGGAATTTGTCTCTATTTTGTCATCTGCTTATATTAAATTATATTCTTTCACATCTTCAGAAATGCCCTGCAAAAAGGATACACTGCTTAGAACAAGTAATTTATTTAAGCTTATCACTCAAAAGAAGAAAGAACAGAAATTTTTTTCCTACATCAAAAAAATTTTAATGTCTAATTACATAATTTTTTTATTACCATTTAAAATGTGATTTAGTCTTACTTAAATGAGCTTTTCAATTGATCTGGCCCTTTTATATAGCAATTTATGCCACGTAATACTATTTTGAAGTTACTGTACAAAGAAAAAAATAAATTTTGTATTCATTGTTTCCATATGTCACAGTGATTTGCCAAAACAAAAGAGCATTTTAACAAAAGAGAAAAATACGAAAACTAGAGTTGTGGTAAAGATGGAAATAACACTAAACTGGGAAAAGACCAGTCCTGTTCTTCTATGGCAGTTATATCCCTTAACACTTGTGTTCTCATGTTCAAAATGATAGGTATTGGCTAGATTGTCTGTAAGGCCCCTAACAGCGTGAACATTCATTAAATTGTAAGTTATAATAAGGGAAGGGAAAGCAGACACTAGATTTAAGCCACCCCTCTGTTTTTCATCATCCAGTGACATATCTTTTTACTTGGCTTGCATATGGTTTTAAAAATGTGGGATTGAATTAAGGTTAATCATTTAATGTTATCTAGTGTTGAATAGCTGATTTTCAGAACTAGCCATCTTTATAATTGAAAAACAACTCAGTGTAACTGGAACTTTTTAAGTAAACTGAAAAATATTCACATATATATGTATGTAGTCCTATAACTTGATTGATAATAGAAGAAGATGAAAATTTTGATACTCTAACATTTCAAAATCAACCAAAGCCCAGAGAAAACTGTTTTTTTTTTTTTTTAGAACTGGAATGATGGAAGATGTTTTTGCTATTAATGGTATAGCTGCTGGTTCTTGCTGATCTTTGCCTGTAGCCAGTGTGTTAGTTCTGAAACTTGAGGGCTGTGGGCTTGAAAATGTAACACTATTCTTTCCTCTTGCCTCTTTTTAAGTATGTTACAAGCTTTGCACAAGGTACTGTCTTTTTAAACTTTTAAAGTAGAGTTTATATAATTTACGTAAAATTTATTCTTTTTTATTTGGGAATTTTACTATATATTATGTTGGTGGTTACACAATTCTATACAGTTACCAAAATACATCGCAAAGTTCACTTAAAACTAAGAAATTTATTATATGTAGATAATGCTTTGATCATCAGGACATTCTCACATCTAAATTTATTATGGCAGGTAGGCCATTGTATTCCCAAATGATTAAAATCCTTGCAGAATATAAACCATACTAAGACAAGATCTTTGACTATGGTAGAACAATACAAAGACACAGTCATTCTGTAATCATGTCTGTAATTGTGTAAGACAAGAACACAGTAAACACAAACAACTAAATATCCTAAGGTGAATGATGAATACTTTCTTACCAATGACAACTCTTTCCCTGCCTCCTGGATGAAAAGTATCAAGATAATCCTCACCAAATTGTCCTCACTTCATGACACCATTTACTTCAGAACTGGCTTCCACATCAACCCTGCTTTAGGACTACACTGGCAGTCTTTGGCTAGTGGGCTTTGACAAGTTATTGTCTATCCACTTCTTCCTTCCTCCTTTTATTCCCTCTCTGTTTTCTGCCTGCCTTCTCCCTTTTCCTCGTCCTTGAGGTCCTGACATTTCAAGCCCCTAAGTGCTATATTCTTTGAATTTTCTTTTTTTACTGTTTGTTTTTTTTTTTAAGTTACTCATATGCAGATGTTTCTTATCTATTTGCTTTTCCTAACATGCTTTTTTTTAATATTTATTTATTCATGAGAGACATACAGAGAGAGAGAGAGGCAGAGACACAGGCAGAGGGAGAAGCAGGCTCCATACAAGGAGCCCAATGTGGGACTCGATCCCGGGTCCCCGGGATCACACCCTGGGCTGCAGGCGGCGCTAAACCGCTGCGCCACCGGGGCTGCCCTGCTTTACCTAACATGCTTAAGGAAGAATAGAAAAATGCTTCTTCCATACAAGTAAATGCTCAGACTAGGCCACAATGACCCAGAAGAATATCTTACAAAAGTATAATACATAAGCAGGCCCATAAGATATGTTTTCCCTTCCAATAAAGTTTTTTTGTTCTACACTGGCTATACCGACTCACTGTTTAAATTAATCCTGATTCCTAAAGTTTAGTGAAAGATTACTTTTCTCTGAAACTTTTATATCATCCATAAAAGCCATAATTAAATGACATTTAAGGCATGCTTCTCTCTGAATCTACTCATGAGATAAACTTATCAGTTGGATTTCATTGGCTTTCTAATCCATATGCTAAATGATTTATAATACTTGTGATCCTTCTTTGAAAATATGATTTACATTTAAAGGCTTAAGTTTAAATTATGCAATAAGCAAAACTTTGAAAAAGGGCTGTTTTATAAAATTAACAAAACTTCATCAAAGAGAGTTTACTTCTTTGCCATCATTCCTGTAATACAGAATCTAAATTGGAAATACTCATATTTACTCTAATATTTGAATGTGATTTTGAAAATGTGAGGAAATCTCCTTTTGTTGTTTTACAGTATCATTGTTACCATGACTTCCTAGAAAGCAGTCGTATTCCCACTTACTTATATTTCTTATTTCTAGTGAAAACTCAAATGCAACAAGGATTAATCTCTATAGCTGCCCGCACTGTTATTACACATCTGGTAAATCACTTGGGCCATTATCCAATGAGTGGTGGTCCTGCTATGTTAACAAGTCAGGTGTGTGAAAATCATGACAATCATTACAGTGAAAGTACTGAACTTTCTCCTGAACTCTTTGAGAGCCCAAATATCCAGTTCTTTGTATTGAACAATACAACCTTAGTGTCCTGTATCCAGATCAGATCAGAAGAGAGTATCCCCGGAGGAGGTTTATCTGCTGGCCTTGCGTCGGCCAATTCAAATGTCAGAATCATAGTACGTGATCTGTCCGGGAAATATTCATGGGATTCTGCCATCCTGTATGGACCACCTCCTGTGAGTGGCTTGTCAGAACCTACGTCTCTTATACTTTCATTGTCTCGCCAAGAGAAGGCAGAAGAGCCTCCTACATCTAATGAATGCTTAGAAGATATAACAGTAAATGATGGGATTTCCCTCCAGTTTAAAAGAGGTTTTAGAGAAACTGTACCAACTTGGGATACCATAAGAGATGAAGAGGATGTTCTTGACGAGCTTTTGCAGTATTTAGGTATAACTAGTCCTGAGTGCTTACAGAGAACTGGAATCTCACTTAATATTCCTGCTCCACAACCTGTGTGCATTTCTGAAAAACAGGAAAATGATGTTATTAATGCTATCCTTAAGCAGCATACAGAGGAAAAAGAATTTGTTGAGAAACACTTTAATGACTTAAACATGAAAGCTGTGGAACAAGATGAACCAACACCTCAAAAGCCTCAGTCAGCATTTTATTATTGCAGATTGCTGCTTAGTATATTGGGAATGAATTCCTGGGACAAAAGGTAAGAATAAAAGAGAAATTTTTCTTTTACATTAGTCTTTTTCATCTTTTGCTCAAGCATTTTAGTCTGTCTTCTCGTCTTACTAATTAGTTCCTTGGCTTTGGGACAGATTTTTTTTTTCTTTTTTGAGACCACTGAGTTTTATCAGGATTCAAGGGAATAAAAAGATAACTCAATAAGTTAACTATTAACATTTTCATAATGACAAGTAGAACTCTTTGACTTAGAAATTATACCTCATAAAATTGAAAAAAAAATTTTTTTTTCCAACCTTCATGTAAGCTAAAAGGAAAAACTAGTTTTTCTTATAATACTTCTGACACCAAATATGTGGGTTTTCCACACCAGGCAGTTCCAGCATTAATTAGAGTTAGCACAAACAGAGTAAAGGCTCAGACCTACAAGACTGCCCCCCACTTCAGACACCAGTTGAAAGTCCATGCTTCTGACCAACTGTCTATAAATCAGATAACTATCTCCTCAGGTTTGATAATTAGCTATAATGGCTCACAAAACATTTACTTATGTTTAGCAGTTTATTATAAAAGGTAGTTAAAGGACCCTAGACTGATGAAGAAGTATGTAATATGAAGTCTGGAAGTCTCTAAAGCACAGGTGCTTCTGTTCCTGTGGAGTTGGGGTCTACCACCATGCCAGCATATTGAATTGAGTTGACTAACCAGGAAGCTCTTTGAACCTCATAGTTTAGGTATTATTATGGAAGCAGTTTCTCGTAAGCATATAGGGATGGCTGAAAGTTCTAAGCTTCTAACCATGGTTTGTGCTTTCTGATGACTAATCCCCATCCTGAAGCTACTCAGGAGCCCACCAAGCATCACCTCATCAGAACAAAAGATTCTCCTATTACCAAGGAAATTGCAAGGGATTTAGGAACTGTATGTAAGATGTTCCTGTTATGTTTATCACTCAGGAAGTTACAAGGGTTTCAGGAGTTGAGCCCAAATATATATTTCTTATTATATCACATAAGCGTAACCGATTTTTTAGCCATATAGCAATATGATCTCTTCTTGTTTGTATCAGAGAAGTTAACTCAAGATTTATCATCTAATCAAGAAAGGAATCTGTATCTCGTGTTCTAAAATTTTGTTTTTTACACACGTTGCAAAAGCCTCATTGAAAGTTTTCAGTAAGCACAAATTTATTCATGTAAGTTGGGTAAGAGTTAAACCAAAAGGCTTTATTTAGATTTAAATCAGAAATACTAGGTTAGAGTCATTTATTCTTGTTCAGTTTGTAGTAGGAGGGGAGCTCAGGTATCAGTGGACAAATAAATCTTTAAGAATTTAAATGCAGGTGAAGCACTGAAAGGGAGTTCTACTTGCTTGACTAGTGTTTAAATCTTATTTAATTTAAACCCTTCCATTTATTAGAAGGGAGTATTCTTTGCTTTATGAGGAAGACGTGTTATGTCAGGAACACAATTTGCCTTATGGTATGTCCAAATGTAGGTAATTGCCACTCATGTAAGTGCATTCTACTCTCTCCTGATGTAGGATGGCCCATATATTGTCTTGAGAAAAATTAAAGGTGGGAAGCTATGTTTTACCACAACAAGCATTGATTTCATAAATATAATTAGTACATATTTAGCACGTATTGAATGTTTTTGGTAAAAGTTTTACATTGGTTCATAGCATAAAAAATTGCCTATAAGGTAAAACAAGGAAGAGAGCAAATTCCATCTGGATTACATATGCTTACTCAGTAATGATTTAAATTTTGTGAGTATTTTATTTCTCATTAGGAGCAACCTTCTTAAATATTTTTAGGAAACTCTTGAAAAGGAACCTGCGGATACTTCTATTTTCCTGGTTGTGAGTTTCAGAAGCTCACAGCATCTGCAGGGAAAAATTGGAAGTGACTAGTGGATCATAATCCACTAACAGAAATCTATTTAGAAATTGGTAGAAATAATGATAGATTCTTTACATTTTTTTAACGGCCTGTTCTCCTTTGTGTTACAAGTATGAAAAAGCAAGAAAAGTGTTTAAGGGTTGCATGAGTAGAGTGGAAAATATTTCTAGTACCATCATGTCATTCACTACAAAGGTGATGAAAATCTCTTTTTAGGAGGAGCTTTCATCTCCTGAAGAAAAATGAGAAACTACTTAGAGAACTTAGGAACTTGGATTCAAGACAGTGGTAAGTTGTTGGGGAACCTTCAGATTTATAACTAGCAACTGACAGCTATTTCTATTTATGTGTAAATAATACTGTATTGTTAACTTTCTGAGCAGAAACTATATTTCATTTCCATATACCTTTAAATAACAAACTTTTTGAAAAAACGCAGGGCTACACTAAAATGGTATCTTTGAATTGTTTATACTTTTTTATGCATTTCAGAATTCTTTTGATTGTAGAAATCTAGTTGAACTTATAAAATGTTCTTTGGTTTACCCATACTAAGATGTTCCAAATATACTCTTTTTGATTAGTGTCAGAGGTCTCAAGTGAAATGACTGGTGAATATAAACTAGTACTTAAAAAAATATTAATGTAACGAAGATAGATTTAGGTTATTATATTACTATAAACCTGATTTCTCATTAAGGTTTTGGGTGTGTATCTATTTACATGTGGCTTTTTATGTGTAAAATCTTATTATATCATAATTTTAATGATATCTAGTTCTTGATGTATATGAACAAGACTTCTGGGAAACCAGTACTAGATACTGCAAAATATTACTTCACTGGAATTTTTGTAAGGTTGACATGTATATTTGCTACTTTCTTGTATAGTCTCTAAATAAAATTTATGGATAAGTACTTTTTTGGCAGTCTAACTAGAAACACGCTAATAAAGCAATGCTTTTAAAGTTACCATTATGAAGAATGTGTATTTCTGAGATTTCAAATCCACAACCTACTTAATATCCATATCTCACGCTCTCACATCTTAGTTGATGTTTCATACTTTTATGTTTCCATTTTTTTGCTTTTTCCATTCCCACAGTCAATCTGCCACTTATCTCTGATTTCACTAGTCCTGTCAGAAACTTCCATATTGTCAACTATAAAAATACCATTTCTGGCATCTTCAAAATGATTCTTCCACTAAAGTTTTTATATATACATATATATGTGTGTGTGTGTGTGTGTGTGTGTGTGTGTGTGTGTGTATGTGTATGGCTGGAATCAATTTTTTTTAGATTTTATTCATTAGGGAAAAAATATTTTATTCATTAGAGAGTGTGCACACGTGTGAGTGGAGGAGTGAGGAGCAGAGGGAGAGAATCTCAAGCAGACTTTCTGCTCAGTATGGAGCCTGATGTGGAGCTCCATCTCATGCTTGAGATCATGACCTGAGCCAAAACCAAGAGTCAGGGGCTTAACTAATTGAGCCATGCAAGCAGCCTTGATCTGATTCATTGACATCTACTTTATCCACTCCTAGGCAGTAGTGTATTACTAGAGAAAATGATCAAACCAGCGTGGTATAGGGAGTGACTGTAGATTCATGCTCCTTTACTTCAGCAGTACCTTCTCTACTGTCTGACAGATTTCTTATCCCTTTTTCACTTCTTACTTTGCTTCTTAGAGTAATTATTGTAAACCACTTCTTTGCTCTCCAAGCCCTTCATTATAGTCAAAAGATGATCTCTACACTAACCTCACTGAGGATTCAATTCAAATGTTTGACCTCCTCTATGAAAGCCAATCTGGTAGACCACTAGTTCCTAACCTCTCTTCCTCCACACATCGATCAAAAAAAGCAAAGCACCTTGCCAGCACTATTGTATAGGATTGCAAAGTAAACAAGATCATTCATTCCTTTCCCACATCAAACAGCTCCACCTTATAAGTCTTTAAAATTTCTATATTGAAACATCTTTTCTTGCTCACCTTCAGTTTCAGAAATCACCTGCCCCCAACCTGTACTACTTCCTCCGTTCTCTGCTTCTCTAGGATCTTCAAAAAGCTAATAGTTCTTTATCTTGTATTTCTACTTACCCCTTTACCATAAGCACACTTGTTACCTTCCTTTAAACAAAACAAAATTATCCTCAGTTACTGTCCTTTCAAGGTATCCCTTTCATGCATTTTTACTACCAAATTTTATGAGAAAATAGACTCTTTACTCACTTCTTTGGTTTTGTGGGTTTTAGCTTTTCTCAGAATAATCTTTTAAAAATAATGTTTAATTTCTCTAGTTATAATAGAAAATATACAATATAAAAATAAACCATATACTTCTAACACTGTTCTTAACATTTGTTTATGTATTTTCAGCCTTTTCTTTTTTGATATGCATATGATTTGTTTTACAAAACTGGAATCATAGTAATATGTATACAGTAAGTTGTTATCTTTTAAAAAGGACTTTGTCATATTGTGAGCATTTTTCTCAGGCATTTTGATACTTTCCAAAAATAATTTTTATGGTGCCAAGTTTCACGATTATTGGACATTCATTTTTAATATCTTGCACTAGGTTAGGTTCCTAGAAATAGAATTTTTACATCAAAGCATAAGAACTTATTTCAGGCCATACATATTACAAAATTACTTTTCACTAAGTACTAATTTCTAATCCTACCAACATTATGTAAGAATACTTGTATAACTTCAGCCTGGCCAATGTAAGGTATTAGTCACATTTTCTAAATCTTTCCTAGCTTGAGAGGCAGATCATGTTCTCTTTAATTTATACTTCTTTACCACTAGTGAAGTTAGTATTTTTCATGTATTTATAAGAAATTTTAATCTTTTTCAAATACTTTCTTAGTGTCCTTTTTCTGTTTAAAAGGAAATTTTTCTTAATTGCAAGAGCTCTTCTATATATGTCTGTCTATCTAAGGATTAACTTTTATACTTATTGTGAGAGTTTTCCCAATTAGTTGTTTGGCTTTCGGTTTTCAACAACTTCACATTGTTCATTTTTATGTAATTATATTTCTCAATCTTTTTTCTTTGGCTTTTTTTCAATTGCTTAGTGTGCTTTTTTGAATTAATTCTGTCTTGAAATCAATTAAATGTTCTATATTTCCTTCAAGATCCATAATTACTTGGTTGAAATGGTAATTTTATATTTCTTTTTTCTGGAATACATTTTAGTTTATGGAATAAGAAATAGAACTAGCTTGAATATTGAAGAATAGTCTATTTCTATAATTATTGAATAATCCATACTTTTCTCATTGAATTGATGTGTTTCCTTTATCAAATATTAACCTGTTTATGTTCATTTCTTTTTTAAGATTTTTTATTTATTCATGAGAGACAGAGAGAGAGGGAGGCAGAGACGTAAGCAGAGGGAGAAGCAGGCTCCATGCAGGGAGCCCAATGTGGGACTCAATCCTGGGTCCCCAGGATCATGTCCTGGGCTGAAGGCGGCACTAAACTGCTGAGCCACCTAGGCTGCCCCCTGTTCATTTTTATTGAATTGTTTATCAATTTTATGCAGATGTTAGTGTTTAATTTATTATGGCTTTACAAGTAATATCTGATAGACCCCGTCTTCTTCACACTATTCAGACATATAGCTTCTTTTCTTAGATATTCTCACCTGTTTATTCTTCTAGATACGTGTTAGAATTATGCTGTTGTTTTCCAGAAAAAAAATCCCATTGATAATTTGGTCTGATTTGCAATAAAACTTTCATGTGGAAAACTTTCACACTTGCTATCATCATTCTTCCCCTTCATAATCATGGCATGTTTTTCATTTATTCTGGCATCCAGACATTACTTTTAGAGGTATTGTTGTGATGCTATTCTAAATAGAGTTTTCTTCCCATTATATTTTGCTATCTAAGTTCTTTAGTGAATTCTCTTATTTATTTTAAGCATTTTATAGTTGTCTATTAGGATCTCTTTAGGTATAAATTTTTTTTTGGTATAAAATTATCTTACTGATCTCCTTTCTAAAACTCATGCCTGGGGATCCCTGGGTGGCGCAGCGGTTTGGTGCCTGCCTTTGGCCCAGGGCGCGATCCTGGAGACCCAGGATCGAGTCCCACATCAGGCTCCCGGTGCATGGAGCCTGCTTCTCCCTCTGCCTGTGTCTCTGCCTCTCTCTCTCTCTCTCTCTGTGACTATCATAAAAAAAATTAAAATTAAAAAAAATAAAACTCATGCCTATTTTATATCCTGTTTAATTGCATTGACTAGAATTTGGACTAGAGTGTTAGTTATTGTAAGAGTGGACACCTTGTTATTGTAATCTTTTTCATCATCTATTCAACTTTTCATATAGTTTTGCTTTTTTAACCACTTGATGTATTTTGTACTTAATATCACTAGATTGCTAATATTAAATCTTGCATCCTTGGAATAACCTACTGAGCCATTTGACTTCCTATTGTGTTTAACTTGCTAGACTTGAATTTTGAATTAGGATATACTCCATTTCTAAGCATATTCTATGTTTATTTAATTTTCTATTTGTTCTTACTATGTTTTTAGAATTAAGGTTTATAGCCAGCTTCATGAAATGAATATTTTCTGTTGTTTAAAAATTTGGAACAACTGGCAAAATTTCTAATTCTTTCAGTTTGTTCCATTGTTATTAGGCTCTGGGTTTTCTTTAAGTTCTTCAATCAGTCTCAGTGTTTTTTGGTTTTTGTTTTTTTTACAAAACTCCTTTTATTGAGATCTTCAAAATGCATACTATTAGATTCATTCGTACATACATACATTTCATAATTCTGTTATATTCCTTTTCTCATTTTAGTTTTTTTGGGATTTTTTTTGCTCTTTAAAAATTAATTTATGTATTCCCATATCATCCCTTTAGAGTTTTTTTTATCTTAGTTTTATTGAGATAGAATTGGCATGCAACATTGTGATAGTTTATGGTTTAAACATAATAATTTATAGATACATATATATATATTGCAAAATTATTACCGCAGTAAGGTTAACACATTCATCACCTCACATAGTTAATATTATTGTGATGAGAACTTTAAAAATCTGCTCTTTTAGCAACCTTTAAATATATAATATGTTAACTGTAGTTACCATGCTGTACTTTACTTCCTCAGAACTTATTCATCTCACAACTGGAAGTTTATACCCTTTGACCACCTTCACCCATTTTGCCCATTCCCCTCACCCCTGGAAATAGTCTGTTCTCTGTTCCTCTGAGTTCACTTTTTTCAGACTCAATATGTAAGTAAGAACGTAACAGTTATT